AAAACCAACAGACATAAAGAACAATCAAAGACACGTTCACCTGCGCCTTCGCCTGTGATCTCCAAAACAGGTTATCCATCAAGATCCAGGGCCTTTGAAGGGACTTGACCAAACCAGGTGAACCTGTTCCTCTCAGGTGATGCAAATGTGACTGCTGACTCCCTCTGTTTCCCCGGAAAATAAAGGTGAACCTTTAGCCACCTGTTCTTACCTCCCTGTACCAGCACTGGTCGCTGGCAGCACTACGGACACTCTGGTCGCAACAGTGCAAAAGAACTCCACAAGTCACGAGGCCGAAAACGAATTACGACACGCAAACCGACAACGAGAAGCCCCACAGCGACAAACTCTGAGAGCAACCATCCAGGAGAATGGCTGCAAACTTGAGCAGCTCAGCATGAGACACAAACGGTCCAGCCCCTTCAACGGTTCCCTTAGGGAGTGCACGACCACACTTCCTCGCAGCTGTTGCATTGTGCATCCCAGGCCGAAGATGCTGTGAGGGCAACGCAAAGATGCCTACAAGAATCTTTCGATTCCTCTTTTGAGCAACCGCAAATGAAGCGACATCCATGTCAAAGCTCTCCAAGGTGAATTTCCTGTGAAGAAACAAGAAGGCTAATTCAGCATAATAACCAATACTGCAAGTATCATGCACTCTCCAGTGGGGGAACCCATCCGCCCGGATTTTTTTCAGGTTATCCACCCTTCCTGGGCAGGAATGCGAACTCGTGAAACATCGTCAAAGGTTCCTTCGACCCTTCGATGGCATCCCAGGTGAATGACCAAAATGCGCTCATGCTGAGCTGCCAAAACCTCTACCCGTCTCTCCCTCTGGGTCTTATTGAAAGGTCCGGTACGAACGCACCCCACTGCGACAGTGACAGTCTTGTAAAGTGTCCAATATCATGAATGTGCTAGTAAAACACCCCACACAACGAGGCTTTACAATCCAAATAGGGTGGATTAGGATGGTTCTACTCATTGTCTACAGGTGCCGGTGCCGGGTATACCCGACACCCAGCTGTTTTCACTCTCATCGCCACCCGGTGCACACACTCCCCCATGTAAACAACACGTCACATTGCAAAACCTTCTTAGGAAGTAGTTGGAGCCCGAGCAAGTTCTATGTTGGTTATGTTGGTATATTTGCAATAAATACCTGTAACAGCGGATTTTAGGATAGCAGGCCGAAACCTTAAAAAGAGTGATTATCGTTTTACCAACTGTTACAGGTACTGGGACACGCCCAAGTTCTAAAGGTCAGATTCCCTTATAGATATAGTTTAGACTAAAGACCCTGGTCGTCCAGGCCTGGCCATGCTTTCGGCCACCACGCTTTCGTTCCCTCAGAGCATGTGGTGCGATGTCGAAGCGTCGGACTGGACTTGGTTGAAGATGGCAAAGACTGGAAGATTGGCTGTCCAAGTAACAAACAGGCCAAACAGCTTTACTGATGCAGCTTCCTCTTCAGAATTTCCACCAGGCTTCGGCTTCTTCTCGGGATTGGGATCTGCAGAAAAGAAACACATTAATGAACAAAACATATTGAACGTCATTGAACACATATGACATTCGACCTGGAGTCGCTTCAGGGGTCCACCGGGAATCTACTCCGATCCGCAAAACCCTCATGACGCTCAATTGGCCCCTACACGGACAGGACGCCAATGGCCTCCTGCATGCCCTCCAAGTGCTCCTTCCCCAAACTGCTCCTTCAAATCATCTGATAAACCCCAAAAACTCGAACTAGGCCACTAATATTTGCAAGATCTTGGAGTAATAAATATCATCCGATATCCCATTACCAGTAATTAAGAGTGGATGATGATGGTTAGGTTAGGTTGCAGGCCATACTCAAAGAGAGTAATTATCCTCGACCGACCGTTACTGGTTTACTGGGGCACGCCCCAATGTTGAAGAATCCGTTGATTCAAACAGCAAAGAGAAACCAACGGCATTCCGCGGCTCTGTTCAGAGGGTGAAAGCCTCATCTATCTGACAACGAAGACCAGTTTTTCTTCTTCGCCCTTCAGATCCCTTTGGGCTCTTGGATCGACCGGAATCCGATCAGTCTGCTGTCTGCGTCTGCTTTCGGGGTCCCGAGACCGATGTTCCCCTCATGCACGGACGTTCAATGACGTTCACATCAAAATCTGAGATCAGCACTCAGGCATTCTGTTTTCACCTATGCCAGAAATCGGAGCTCAACAGTGGAGTCCAGACTGGTGTTGCAAGATCCAGCCTTGGATACTATTCTGAGTCGCTTTTGGTATGCGACTGTTCCCATTACTCGCCGATCTCTTGATTTCAAACCATGATTCGATGCACTGCGATTGGCGAGTCTGATTCATAGTGATCATACAATGGGCCCATTCAGTTCGATCCTCCAGGAGGTGTTCTGTTCACCCAACAGAATTGGAGGATGCTAGGTTGTTGAGCCAGAGAGCTGATGGGCTCATGTCTTGAGATCCATTTGGTTCACGTTGTGGACGACCATCCAGTGAGGGGCACGAAGGCGGGGCACGAAGGCGGTGCCCTCCAAGTTCGGCACCCAACTCCATAGCAACTCCTGGGATACATATATAACCCATAACACTCCATGTATGCCATATATGCATGGCTTCGTGTTCTTATAGTTTCAACACATCCCATGAAACATCCCTCTCTCTCTCTCTCGCTCGCAAACCGCTCGCTCGCTCGGACTCGGACGCCAACCCCCTTGGTTTCTCGGTGCAAACATCGACCTAGCCATACCATACCTGACCCATTGCAAAGCTGTCGAGCTGCAGAACAAATGAAGTAGTAAGTAGTAAGCACTAAACCCCTCAAAGTGAAGCCCCCGAGGCAGTTTGCCTCAGAAACTTCTTTGATTGCACTTCAAAGGGTGAAAGACAGTCGACGAGTCGACGAGTCGATGAGATGGATCTCTGTGGTCATGTTGCTGTTGGATTTGGATTTAATCATAAATCAGTATCTACTACTAATACAGTAAGTTATCTATATTTGTTCACAACATGTTGGTGGACCTGGGAAAAGCCGAAAACCTCCCGATGTGTCGTTCACCAATTTGTCAAACACTCTAACAAAAATGCACACTCCGTGAAACATGGAAGTGGAACATAATTAGACCCTGAAGGGAATTCCAAACCTCCGATGGGACCTCAATCCATCGCCACACCCCGACATCCCGGAACAACGCCTGTACTCGAAGGCGCAGCTGTCACAGCTGGATGCAATCTCGCTACAACCACTCTCTTGAGCTACGACCGCGAGGCAATGTGCAAAAATGTGCAAACTGTTGCATGACTCTGGGCTCTGGGCCCAAGATTAACTAAGATCGTATTTGCAGTGAGTTCTCGCATTAAACTCAAGAAGTCATCTGAGTCAGCTGACATAATTAGGATCAAAATCTGAAATTGGTCTAAGTTTTCTGCAATCTGAACCTAGTTGATTGATTGGAGGCGTCTCTTGAGTGTTCTGTCAAATTCTTTGATATGCCCATGTTGGAGGCAGAAACCTTCCCATCACTCCCTGGTCTAGGGAAAACGTGTCAAAAAATATTCATCCGAAGTGTACTCCGCAACTCTGCGGATTTCAGGGAAATGCACCACAGCGGCCGCGCCGGGGCTCCTCTTTTTCGGCGCCACGTGGCGTTCCGCGCCAACTTCGGGGTGAAAGACCAGCCTGACGGGTGGGCGATGGAGAGCTCCCTGGGAGCACCAGAGGTCCATGTGGGCCGAAGTTTGCTCAAAACTTCCAAAAACCGAGGTATGGCCTAAACTGAATTGTGGCCTGGTCCAAAACGACTTCTTGAAGTGTTCATACTTTGGTTTTTTGCCCAACACTTATTGAATTCTGGCCTTTTCACCAAGGTATGACCGGGCATGACCATAGGCATGAGGTACTCATGTGCCATACATTCAGCACGCTGAGCAAAACAACTGTCCACAAGCTATACATGATTATTTTGTTCTGCAAAACAAAATCCTTCCAACCTAATAGCGATGTCCTCCTCCAACCCACTAACGAAACAGCTCGTCCTTCCAAACAAACTGAGTGATCGCTGATCTCGGGCGTTCACCGGTTGCGGCAGACGCAGCGAGCTCGTCCGGCAGCGAACCGCGCGTTGGACGTAATGATCGCTGCACATCACATTGGAAGTGGAACAGGTGGGGGGTGCTAGGAAGACCATTTTCCTCTACAAACAGAGCTTGTTCAATCATTGTCCACTTCCAAGTGACGCAAAGTCTATTTTTCAACCAACAATGGTGACATGGCTCCACTTCCGTGGCCGAGAGATGGAAGAAGCGGGCGTTACGCCCAAATGATCTGGAACATCAGTTAATCTGCCAACCTCGCTGATGATTTCTTGCAGTGGTCGAAAGGAGTAGATGGCACTGGCACCCCAAGATGTCTTTTAGATGTGAGTCGTTAAAAATCACCAAACTGGTCGATTCTGCAAACTACTCTGAAACCACTGTAAGTTGTTGCATTTACTTGGGGAATGTCGACAATCACATTCCGCGTTCCAAGATTCAATCCTCTTCCGACGGTGGCTGGAAGTGGCGAAGCAATCTGCACAAAGCCAATCACCCTCAATCACCCATTCCCAAACACTCCTTCTGGGACTGGTATATATGCATATATATATGCCAATCGACCCCTTTTCAACGAAAAAAACCCATGACAGTTCCCATGGAGTGTCAGTCCTCGTGTCTGGGACCTGACTCTCTGGTCCGAAACCTTCAGACGTTCGGTCAACCATTCAAGGCCCCTGGGTGAACCAACCGGTCAGGCCGCCGGGTGTGGGACTTGAGACGTCTCCCTCAGAAAGAACCTCTGGGAGAGCGAACATAGACCCAAACTACCCAAACCCATTGGTGATAGGGGGTCTCCTTATTCAAGTACACTCAAATGAAGAGACCGAGCCATAAGCATGGTTTTCCATCTTCCACAATCTTGCTCAACCAACACACCGGCAGAAGGGCCTTGGCGCCTCATTCATGGGCCTCACAAGCTGCTTCCAGGCAGAACTCCATTGAGCAATCTCATTCCAGAACTTCGTAGCAACGGCTTTGGAGGGACGAGCCGAGGCTGTGTTGCTTTTGCAACGGTGGTGGTTCACCATCTGTTCAGCGGTGTGGGGCACTCTCAAAAAAGCCCCAAAAGATCACATCATACCAGAAGACAAAAGGCCAGGATGATGTCCCCAAGCAACAGTTTGATGGAAATCTAAAAGTATTGGTCAATGGGCCATGGAGAGAACCATTTCCAACTAGGGATGGACAGTGGGTCCCAATATTTGGGACCATCTTAATCACTGCAGTGGATGATGGTCAACGATGGTCGTACGCAATAAGAGGACTTCACTCAAAATGGTCGTGGTAAGCTGCTTTTGCCTGATACCGGAGATACCTGGAAGAGAGTTTGGTCAACCAAACAGTCCGCCCGTTCTTATAGGACTGGGCGTCTGAAGGGGAAGCACGCACCATCACGCACCGAATGCAGGGGCCCACTGACACCACGAAGCAAGAGATGCTGCAGTGGGGCGCCTGCTTGAAGCGCATCTGCATCTTGATCTTGGCCGTGTCCTCCCCCCCGTTCGGACCGTCCACCATCGTGCACTTCCTTACCCGTGGTGTTTGGCCCGTCCGCGCCGTAGACTGGACGGTGGGAACTCGGTGGTCACCGACCCCAACCCCCTGAGGGATCCAACATGATCCAAGCATCTCGTCAAGTGGTTAGACCCAAGAAGGCTTCGCCCCGCTCCGCCCCAAACGCGCCCCTGGCATCGCCGAGTTTCGGAGGTTTGCTTTCGACCACAAGGCCCACAAAACGGGTGACTTCTCGGTCGTCCAATCTCGCCGACGACTGGACCGACGAAAAGACACGTACGGCGTGGACCCAGGTGACTTTCATGAAGCTTTTGGAGAATTCATGGAACATTCTGTTCAAACCACGTTGACCCACTCGGCCATGAACCCATGGGTTCTTGCATGTTGTTTGGCATCACGTGACCGGCGTCTCGTCTCGTGAGCTGAATCCGACGGTTCGGCTCGTCCGCACGGCTCGTTCGCCTGCCGCGAGAGGGACTTGGGATCGAGCACATTGGGGATCAGCTCCGCACCTGGACTCGGACGGAGCTGTAAAAGGGCGATGGGGTGTGACATGCTGTGACCATCAGCGGACAAAAACCGACCTGCAGCACGGGAAGCAGAGAAAAAAGAAACTGCCCCAAAGGTCTACCGAAGTCCCAGTCTATGGGTTAATTCATGTGAATTCCCACCTGGAGAATCTGACCCCAGCCAAAATCCTAAGACCTATTGTTCACAAAGCAATCCATTTGTTGAATTGGCTTTGGCTCCCACATATCCAAATGCTGATTGTTGGTCAGCTCTGATTGACCAACGACAGTAACCGGGTCTATTTCAATGTGTCCTTCTTCCAAGGGGAACTTTGGGAGGTCACCCATATAACATGTACATCTTCTGCACTCTTTAAGCAGTCCTCTAGGAATTAACATGCGCAATTCACAATGCAAGAAGAGGAGAGCGAATGACAAATGTCCTAGTTGCTTCCTCGGTTGTCTCGTGTTCTATCATACCTGTTCAGGGAGATCATAGTTAATGTATAAACAATTAGGAATGGACAATCGTGAGGCAAATATGGAGATCTGAGGTGAACAAACATATATTCAAAATATGTCCTTGCAAGATGTTGCAAACAGCTGGTGCCAACGAAGTCCCTGACTCGCTTCCTGTTGAAAACTGGAGACCTCTCCGACCCTTCTCCATGGGCAGCTGCCCGGTGGCACAGCTTCTCTCAAGACAAGAGGTAGAATCCCACAGGTGACCATAGTGTTGTCCCAAAATATCAGGAATTGCTTTGAGACATTCGCTTCTCTATTTGGAAGCATGAGACAGAAAGCAACACGGGAACCCTTCAAATTGACGACAGGTCACACGAAGCGTGAAATCAGTCCCTCCACTCCAATCTCTAGTCCCAAAGCACTCAAGTCCCTTCCTTCAAGTCCCTTCTTCCTTCTTGGAGGCCCAACTGGCAGAGCTATGAAAGCCGATGCCCGCACGCTCAAGCTTTTCACCACCCACAAAGGTGCCATCCACGTTCATGCAGGCCTCAGCAGTTGGCCAGAAGGCCCAACGTTGGCTTCGCCAGCGGATCCTCGATCCTCTGTTCACCAAGTCGAAGAGGTCAGGGAATGAATGTCTTAAGAGTCTTAAGTCTTACGAATCTCTAGGGCTCCAACCACATCTTCAGGTGGTTGGGGTGGGTTTGGGGGGTCCAACTGCCTGAGAATGTGAATACCAGGACTTCAGTATTCTCCTGGCCGGTGCTGCCTTCGGACCGGAAGAGGTTGGTTTTGATCTGGCACCGGCTGTCAGGAAAACACCGGTTTCAGAATCCAGATATAGTGGTCCTCAAAAAGATAGAAACGGTATAGTGGGGATCTATTTTTGTATCTATAGTCTCTGTCTCTCTCTCCCTCTATATATACTGTATATATACTGAGTTATTAGATAGATAGATAGATAGATAGACAGATAGACAGATAGACAGATAGATAGATAGATAGACAGATAGATAGAGATAGAGATAGAGATAGAGATAGATAGATAGATAGATAGAGATATAGATATACATAGATAGAGATAGATATATATATATAGGTAGATAGAGATAGAGATAGAGATGAGATAGAGATAGAGATAGAGATAGAGATAGAGATAGAGATAGAGATAGAGATAGATAAAGAAAGATAGATAGATAGATATAGATAGAGATAGAGATAGAGATAGAGATATAGATATGGATATGGATATAGATATAGATATAGATATGGATAGATATGGATAGATATAGATATAGATATATATATATATAGATATAGATAGATATAGATAGATATAGATAGATAGAGATAGATATAGATAGATAGATATAGATATGTAGATATGGATATATAGAGATAGATAGAGAGAGATAGATATAGATAGATATAAATAGATATAGATAGATATAGATAGATAGAGATAGATAGAGATAGATATAGAGATCGATAGATAGATCGATAGATAGATAGATAGATGTTGTTTCTTCTCCATGAAACTGATCAACTCCGTCGCGCCATGTCGCGCCTCTCGTTGATCCTCCTGCCGCCGCCGCGCGGCACGAGGAAAGCAAACGGAGGAGTCGCGGAGGAGGCTGGCAACCACGATCCAAGAGTGGGGTGCTATGGAGATCCTGAATGAGTTGACCAATTGGTTGAAATATCCGCAATACCGATCCCGGGCCATTCATGTATGAACCGTTCCATCTATAATTAATCATGGATGGTGAATACATGGAACATACAGTAACAAAGAAAAACAAAGGATCTTACGGAGCCGATGCCAAGTGCCATCTTCCGGTGCCGCCAACGATTCCACAGTCACCCATGGTCTGACTGTTTTTGATTCACTTACGGCCTACGGCCTTCACCGGAAACCAGCGGAGAAGGTCCCAAAATGTCCCCCCCCGTTCGGTCAGAAACAGCATTGCTCTCTCTTCCGGTGTTTATTACGATTCCGCTGGATCCGTTGGAATGGCCGATGCGATCTACCCCAACTCAACACATCACAATTCACGAAGCCAAACGGCGCCTGAGAAGAGTAGAACCTACAGTATCATAACATCAACCTACGAGTTCGGGCGATTCACCCATTGTCTTGGGAAAACATCAAGAATGATCCATCAGAATCCAGTTTGTTCTTTTTGCAAAACCAAGACGTTGTGGGTGCAAACCACTCAGCTTCTTCCCTTCTCTTCACCGCCTGCGTGGGCATCTCAACGCGTTGAGCTTCCACCTCCGCGGCCATCCGCTCAGCCTCCGCGATGCGGTCGCATCGCGCAGGCTGTGATCGGCAGATCAAAGAGTCTGCATAGTTATTTTTCTCACATGTTTTTCCCCAAACAATGTGGGCACACTGAGGGGCTCTTACGGTAGGGGAAAGGAAGCTGTTTTTTGTTCACATCTTTTTTGTTAGTTTGTTTTTTTGTTGTTTCACATGTCTTTTCACATGTGATTTGAGGAGTGAAAACATGTGAAAACACATCAAATCTCAGGGAGACAAATCTGTCCGGGACTGTCCGGGCCTGATGATCCCGGTCTCGCATCGCGTCTTCAACTGTGTCTGACCTCCAGAGTTGCCTTCCCTGTGAAATGGAAAACAGAATGGGCAGATCGGCAGATCCCCCCAAGAGGTGGGGGCGAAATGGTCTCAGACTGCCTTCTTTCCAAAGGGAAGAAACTGGGACGTCTTTTTTTGGGATATTTGAGCTCCATACCCATTTCATCCCATGGACTTCTCCAGCCAATCCCTTCTTTTGTTGCCCGCGGTCTTTCTGTCTCGGCTTGTTGCTCCCGCGCTTGCGCCGCGGTCCGATCTGGATCGTGCCTCGACGATCTTCTCGAACTTGTTCACCAAGGTATCGATGGCGGCACCACCTGGAGCCCCCCCTATTCCGGATCTGGGGGGGACCACGAGGGGCCAGGCGATGGGACAAAGCAGAGTTTCCAGGGGTTTGGTCTGAGTCTGCCGACAAAGATGAAAGCCCGTAACTTGGTCACCACCTTCAAGGTGAGTAAAGATGCCAGTCCCATGGAGTGGTGGAGTGGCTGAAGGACATCCACCACACAAGGCTGGTGTATTTTGTTCACAGTGCTTCGGATTTCTGGGAATGTCTGGGATGATGACCCTCCGATCTCCTTTGAGAATTCCTACAGGTATCTACAGGTTGGCTAGAGATACACTGATCTGACACAATGAAAGGGACTGGCCTGTGCATGCTTCGAGCGTTGGGGAGATCTGTAGGCCAAAAAGGCACAGGACATTCAAAGGGCAATGATTTATCCTCAAATCCAGTGCATGTGAATCCTTTCTGAACTGCAAAAAAACACCCAAATAATCTCAAATACACATGGTATCACGCGGTATTTGCATGTATTTGCAGGTACCAACCAATCCACTTGTAAGCGACAGGCACTGGGCCTGTTCGAGGTGAATCGAAGAAACATCATCTGCCCGTCACCACTCGGTTAGCTTGCACATCTGCCCAGAATTCCCATCCGCTGCACGAAAATGGGCACCTTCCGGGCTCGGCTCACAAACCGTTTGGCCTCCGGCCCTCCAAAACCCCTCCAAAACCCCCTCTGTTACTTCAAACCCCTCCAGTTCGGCCTCTGGGCATTTCCAGCCCAGCCAGGTCCATCCTCCCCGTGTCTGGCACACTGGGACACCCGTCTGTTGCTATGACGCTGGCGGCGCTCCTGAGCTCGATCCTGAGGCGTCGTTCGCACCGGAAGAAGCCGAAACGGAGGGGGCAACGGGAACCCTTCTGAACCAAATACCAGGACCATCCTGTCGGGGTGTCCTGGCTGGACTACCCCACACTACCTATAGGCTTCCAGACAGGGCACTTCTTGGATGGTCCAGGTAGATGCTTTATAAGAACAGTATGTACAAATTGGAGCTTCTCCAACGTGCTTTGTTGGCTTTTTGGAGTGGTACAAATATAGAGAGATGGAGACGTCATCAATGATCATGGCAAATCGACAATGATCGAGTGTGTGTTTCCAGTCCCTCGCTTTCAAGAACATATGAATGTCATTCAGGGTGAAGCTAGACAAGCATATATTATGCTTGCTTGCAACTGCCATATCAAGGAAAGAACAAAACCACAAGTGCTTCTGGCGAGAGTCTCATTTAGATCCCCTTTTGCTATGTGGCAGGGATGCAAAAGTATGTGTGTCTAGCGTTCCAGGCAACCCGCTCGGGTCTTCCCCTTCCAACGGTCGACTCGCGGTCGACCGGTCCGAAGACTCCGGTACTGAAAAGGACTCCCAAAGACTCTTGACAATTGGCATCAACATGAATCAACCATTCATCAAATATTATCAAAATACATTAATATCATTAATATCGATTAAAAATATAGTGCATAAGGCGCCTTTTAAAACTACGATATTCTTTGAGGGTCGGTCAACTGCAACAACCGAACAACTCCAAGCACTTACTCCAAGCACTTGTCTGTGGTGTCTAAAAAGATGTTTGCTTTCTTCAAGTTTGCTTGTCTTCGACCATCATGATGTGCAGCACATGCAACAACTCTGATCCAGCCAACTTCAATGTACCGACTTCCAATGTCCATCAAGAAAGAGCCAAGGTCAGAAGTTCGACTTGGGCTACCAAAAGGATGAAGATCCAAAATCAACATGCCCAACAAGTGATGAAGCTTATGGATATAACCTGAGATATGTAAAAAGGAAACTTACTGACTTCTAAGGTATGCCTATCTCCCCCTACGCAGATCCATGCATTGATGGCCAAAAAGACTATCCTTTTGCATCTTCATGGTGCCTGCCACCTCCACACCTTTACCACCTCCCAGAAGTGCGACGCCTCTCCTTGTACTGCTCTTGTCGTCTTCTCCACTCAAGCTGGCAGTCCTCAAGCCGCTCAAGCGGAAAATCAGCCGAAGAAAACTGAACCGAGTAAAACAAATCAAAGCTGAAGGATGTTAAACACCATATGGGCGTGTACATTAGACAGCCAAACTCCCCCAAAAGCCTTTTAGATGTCTTAGGGGTCTACCTCGACCTGCATTATTCATGTCCGATCAACAAAAGATTATCTTCTGCCAGTTCTTCTGCCATACATACAGACGTGTTGTTATATTCGTAGAATCATGTTGTGCTTTGTGTGATTGATTTTCGTCATGTTATTATAGAATTACTAACAATTCCTTATTTATGATCCTTTTGTTGGCATGCATCACCTGGCCCTCTGGGTTCCGATCCTCTTCGCTGCGTTGGAAGACCTTGCGGCGCCACGCGGGGTCCTGCGGTGCCACGCGTGCCGGTCCCAAAGCCAGGTGAAAGGGATTGCCATGTGAGGGGATGGGAATGATACGTTTGGGGAGATTCTTCAAGTGGGGGATTTCAACCAGTATTTAAAGTTATGTTTGTTGATGATTGTGCCACCAAAATCTGGAAAATCATATGGCTCATGGCATCAGGAGACCGACGGTAGGGCACAACCGCCCCACCGCCAACTGTCAGTCGGAAGTTCGCAGTAGATGGTGGACCAATCGTTGGGCTCCAGGTTTTGAGGCGCAGAAGTATTGCCAATACACTGGACAAATAACAGGTTGTGATAACAGCCATATATAACAGGCTCCAGGTTTTGATCAAGATCAATTACATCTTACGCAAGGTTGTTGGACGGCTGCCTGGGCCTAGAACCCCTCGGATAGAGGAATGAGGAAGCAAAAGCTTTGTGGCGCGTCGTCAGCCAAGTTTTGCACCTCCTTTCTCGCTACGAGCGAAAGGAGCCACCCTGGTTTTCAGCAAGATCGACCGTGTCCTCCTCATCGTCGGATTCCCCGAAGGATCTTTTCAAAGACATCTGCCGCATAGCACTAGCATCCAGCGGAGTGTCCTCACGGAGGCTGAATGGTTTGGTGCAGGTCTGCAAGGTCTGCAGCAGGTTGGCAAGGTCCACTTCCAGATCATCATCATCATCATCATCAATGACACGATCAGAACGTTTAGGGAACCAGCCAGCACCTTCAAAGGGGTCACCAATGGAAGCCCCTACACCACTAAGGGACCTCCATTGGACACCCCCTGAAGGTCCAGGTAAGGAACCAGGGCTTACGGTTTATCCAGGTCTTTGAGTCTTTGGAACAACCAGATCTGCCAGCTACCAGGATCGATCCGCTCGGACTTCTGATCAACTTGTTCATTTGATTCTGCTGTGGAGTGATGGGAAACCAACAAATGCACAGAATAACAAGCGCACAACATATATTTGCTGTTGGGAAAAGGAAAACAAATTGTAAGCAATATCAACACCAAAAAAACCTTGTGAGGTCTATTGTTTCTACAACCTCTGCAGCAGAATTCCCCAATGCAAAGCCATGTCATTTATTGGCATACCCCTAGAATACCGATCTATAAGACTATAGATGACTTTATAGTATTAGATGACTGAATGGATATTCATGTCCTCAAAAAGGGCTCCAAATATCTCTGACACGGAGGTGGATGGCATGGCCTCCGGGAAGAGGGTATAACCTGAATGGAAGTGTATTCATGTGTATATAGTACAGGTTTTTCTGCCCAGCCACATGTCTAGGTGTAGCAAACTAACTCAGCAGGTTGTTCCTGGCCAAAGGGCCCCGCTTCACCAAACCTTCTGGCGGTGGTCAAGATAATTACATGTCACATTCATCCTGAAGCAAAAAACAAAGGAACACAAACAACAAACTGAAACATGATTATAGAATAATTATGATAGATTTGAGTGGTGTTGTGCGCTTGTGCGCTCTACTGTATACTGTATACTCGATGACGACCGTCTGTTTGGTTCAACCCTTTATGGCATGTTGATTTGCCTCTCGGCCCTCGTGTCCAACACACTGAAATCCACTCCAGCAAGTCGACGAAGCAGTGCCACGAGCCACGTGGCATCCAGCCATGTGGAGATGTGTGATGGACCAAATCCCTTGCGACCTCTCGGGATCTCTTAAAGATGGTCAGGAGAGGTCTGCCCCCAGAACCTCTTTCCATTCTGACCAACCAGGGGGACGGCCACCAAAACCTATTAAATCCACCAACACCATCCACAGATGTTCTCCAATCCTCATTGGACCCAAAGCAATTCCTCCATGGACCCCACCGCACCTTTGCCATCTCGCTCAACTGGATCTTGATCCTTGGCTCTCCGACCCGATCAGGCCGCCCAGGGGGGGGCGGCCACGACCGTTTTGGAGGTTGGAACAGAGGGTTCCCCACCAAGCCAAGCTTTTTAGGGATCCACAAATACAAGATACCCCTAAGGGGATGGATTGCCAAACGTTTTTTTCCCCTAAGGCTCCAACTACGTAGCTTCCGGGAAGGTGGAGACCCTCCAAACCCACCTCAAAACATTCTCTCAGGTGGTGGTTGGAGCTTTACCATGGCTCTACTATCAATCGGCAATTTCGTGGAGGCGCGTTGGAGTCTTGTTTACCCCATCAGTTCCGCCCACGCCAAGGCCAAGAAGCCTCAAAGGCCCACACACGATGAGGCCTCAAAGGTGCTGGAGGACGAGTATGAAAGCTACTCCTGGTGCAATACATGACATCTGAAGGGTATATACAGAGTGGATTCACAGTAGATGGTAAATATAGAGATCCACTTCTTGAAGTACTTCAGGCTCGTGCAATCGATACCGAACCTTCCAGACTCCCCAAGCGGGGCTACGTCCCTTAGTCCCTTGGCTCTCTGACAACAAGCCCCTATGCGTTCTGGATGGTTCGGGAATCCCAAATGCTCAGACACAAGCATGCTGTAGATCCGCGATGTATCCAAGATCTCCAGGTGCGCACTGAACTGAAAAACGGTGAAAGATGGGCATTGCAACTTTTGTTTCGTCAGGACTGGTGAATATCCCATCACCAGGCCATGAAATTCCACCTATGACATCAGCCACCATACGCAGATTTTGGCTACCGCATCGGATCAAGAACTGTAACATCCAACAAAAAACAACAAATCAACCCCAGTGCTTTGGGCCAATCCCAAACACTCCATGCCAATCATGTCATGTCTGCCGATCAGGCCAGGTGTGGAGCCAGAGGGGTCAATGTAGGCATAAACGATATGCATACATGGAGTATCTGGGATGGTGCGGCTAAGGGGCTATAGACACCCACAGCTAAGGGTCCTGGTACATGGAGTATCTGAAATGGTATATAAAAACGATATGGACCCCACCAAAAACGATAATCATGTCAAATGGTATTTGGCTACACAAGTCATTTGGTCCGCTGCTCATATGGGAATCTATGGGAAGGTCTCCAAAGCACCGCTGCCAACCCGGGCGGGCGCGCCGAAACGCCGGCGGCAACCACTGAGCTCCATGCTGCCAGTCTTCAACGGACCGACCCATTGGCCATTCACCGCGTAGCCGTCCAAGGTGGTGCCCTGACGACGGAGATCGGAGTGGTGACTGGTGGGTCTGAGAGGGATGAGGTTCAGTCTGGGTCAAGCAAGATCAACAACAAATGTCAAGCCACATCTGATGGGTCTGGTGGCTTGTTCACGTCAATGTCCTCAGATTTGTGTTTGTGTGTCTGTGTGACTGAGGGCACATGTGACCAAGTTCTTGACGTTCGGATCCATGCATGGAAGCATCGTGCTTTTTTCGATATTGATTGACATTTATACTCCCGGCCCGCTGTAGAAGTTTGCACCAAGCGAGTGGGATGCGAATGATCACTTGTAGAAGCACTACAGTAGCTTCTCACGAGATAATGATTCTCATACACTGCGACACTGATTCACACGAATTCTGTGCATATGTGGAATGGCTCAAGGATCGTTTAAATGAACTAAGGATCTCGGGGGTGTAATGAATAACTTTGAATTACGCTAACCTTATTGCCCAATGGCACCAAACGATCTTTCCGTGTTGCTGCACTTGGTAGAGTTCCGAGCGTTTTACACGGTTTGGTTTCAGATCCTGATTGCTTTGACTTGGGCCATTTGCGGCCAAGGCAAGAGGCCCCTTGGGTCCAAGCAGTGGTCCTTAGCTCGGTTTTGTTGAAGCCACTCTCTCCACCTCTCCTCTTGCTTTCTTTCTCAAACAAAAAGCAACAACCTTCTACCAGAAGATCATCCTAGCCTTTCCTCCCACGACCCCGGTGACCCAGTCCGAAGCCGAAATCCAAGGCCCGTTTGTATTTTGCCGTCGACAAAGTATGTCCTTTGCCAAATTCCGCTCTCCTAGACCAAAATTCAGACCAGAATTTGGCAGAGGCTACTCCAATATGCCCTATATACCCCAAAATATCCAGAAAGCTTGCCACGAGCTCTGACGTCTCCTCATAACTTGTTCCCTCAAGAAAAAAGCGGTTGTTCTCGAGTTCGACTGAGCCCACTCCATTTGCATAGAGGATAGCTCGAACGCGTGGCGAAAACACGGACTTTGCGAGTATCTTCCACCTCCAAGACCTCCACCTCGTCCCGGTATTTGGCCACAGAGCTCTTGTACTTGGGGTCCCAAGCACTAAATACCCCATGGCGGCTTCAAGTTTCAGCATGGTATAAATTGTCCATCTGCATCACTATGGTTAACAAGCACTGGATGTCGTGACGTTTCGATAACTTCTGCATCACTGATTTGATGGCGTCATCATTGGGCTCCGTCGAGCAATCCGACGGGGAACTGGCTGGGATGTGATGCCAGGCTGTCGAAAAAGACAATTACTCCCTATTACTCCACTTTCTGTTCTTGGCCTGACCTGGTGCAGCAAAAATATGGGCATGAACCTCGGCACCCATGTCGGCATCAAGCAACTGATCGCTGGCTTAATCTGTCCAATGCCAAGCGAATCCGCATCGACCAAAAGCTCAGTGATGGGTGTAGAGGCCAGTGTGACTTGACTAAACCTTGCGTCCCTGACCTTGACATCCTCGAAACAAGCGCTTCAAAAGCTTAGCACCTGCCCAACAGCCCAGAACCCATCGAATTGGCCACTGCATTGGGCTGACTGGGTTTGGCCACTGCGTTGGGCCACGGTGCGTTGGCCTTGCATGGTCGGCCTGACTGGGTCCTTGCCCCTTGCACACCTTGGGCCCAAGGTGCCAGTCGGCAGCGGTATGGCATGGGATGTTAGAAGATTGGCAGGTCATCCAGGTCTGACCCGAACTGTAGCTTGAAACCAGATGATGCAAGGCCGACCCTGTAACTCATTGAATGTTGAATAATGTTGATGTTCAATACGCTTTCCGTTCAACCTCTTCCTTTTGTTTCAACTAGAACCTCTTCTTAATGTTACTATATGTTTAACGCTTGAAGTCTTCTTCAGATTAGCCAAACACGCCACGCAATGCATATATGATGATATATCACATCAATTATCCTACATTGACCCCGTGACCCCTTTTCCACCGCCCCTGCCCTTTTCTCGGCAACTATGCCGCCAGTCCTGCCAGTGTCGATCGAACGCGCGGACCGCCGCCCCGCGCCTCTTCGGAGGTCTCCATGTCACAGAGGAAGAACCGATCCTCGACAGGGCGGAAGGCGATCGGGCGGACCGCACCCGCACCAATCGTCACCGTCAGCGGTTCGACTCGACCCGAGCAGGTTCGAAGTCTCTGGATGGCGGCGCGAGAGGATCGCCTTAGAATGACCATAACAACAGCCAGTCAGAGTCGAGCGAATTCATGTCCCACTTGGAACATGCAAGGGTCTTAACATGACACCTTAACAAGCTTTCGCTGAGCTGGAGCCGACTCGTAGGATTGTCCAAGCACCACCAAATGGGCGAGCAGTCCAGCAGTCCAAGGAAGTACTCTGTTTGGTGGAGCCTTGAAGCATGTCTGACTCCCGGATGCCAAAGATCCCTTGGAAGAGGAAGCGTATACCGAACTGTCCACCTGTTCTATCCGTCGGATTGGGATGAAACACCATTCCCCCCAAGAAAGGTGACCTACTTCGGGAAGGACCCGATGCATTGAAGCTTCAAAAGCAACTTGGATGGTGCGAAAGAAAGAACCCAAACAGGGACCACTCCAAATAGAAGTTGTCTGCTGTCCAACGTTTCATCAGCTCTTGACCCTTCTTTAAGCTTTGGCCGCAGCATGGATTGTGGGGTTTCCCTAAAAGGCACAACCGGCACAACCCCATAAATGTTCCATTCATAGTATAGGATTGATCAATGTGCACGTCCGTTGGTTCAATCTTAGGGATTTGATCAATCACTTCCTGGACGATGTGTTCGGTCAACGAGTTTCGACACCTGGAAACCCAAGACAACTTGTTTCAACAATTCATCAACCCGCCTGGTGGGCTGGATCTGCTTGGCATCTCTGTGAGTACATATGTGAGTACCCCAGCAACTGTCCTCTCTCTCTCTATCTCCAAACAAACTAACGCATCGTGTTTTTCTTTCCCAGAGCCTTCTCGGATCGGATCTTGCAATGTGCCTCATCGATCAGGGAGCGGATCGTGAGGGGGTTTGGCCCCAACATTCCGCCGATGGCCGTGGGAGGCCCACATCAGGGTCATTCCCTGTCTTTCGATGGAGTTCATCATGTTAGATCATTTTGTATCCAGGATATCATGGCGCCAGGATGCCTTACCGGTCGGAACTCGCGACATGGGTGGACTGCTTGGGCGGTTGAGAACAGTGGAGGACCATGTGCACGGTTCACCGAAGAAGGGAGTCGTTCGGCCCAAAGCTGGTGCTTGCTCAGCTCGCTTTTCGTGTCAGGGTCTGAACTGGACATGATCATAATGTTGGACAAGCCCCACATCAATCATCTTACAAACAAAAAAGGTACAAAATCAACAACAAAACATACAAATCTTCCCCTGATCCCCCTAACATGTTGCCTGATTTCGTCCAATATCCAAGAAAATAAATCCAAAAGTCTGTCAAATCAATCAGCCCGGCCCCCTCCTTCACTGCCATTCTGCCGAACCCAGCCCCACCTGAGCCAACCGCTCCGGAGGGTCGTCTCGGCACAGCGCATCCAGGTCAGGGCAACACCTATCGGGGTCGTGTGGTCTGGGAGGTGTTTGGAGACCTGAACTGGGACCCAAACAAGCTTCAGTTTTACTTACTTGGAGTCTCTGAAGAGCTCGGAACTGGGGAAAAACCCAATCATGGTAGATCATGACGGGGAACGAATCCACCCTTTCTCCGCAAAGGCAAGAGTTCAGGGCTCTTTTGGTTGCTTCACAATCAAACCACATCAAAGATCAAATCCAGGTCTTTTGGCGAACAGCCTTGATAACCCATGGTATCTTGACCCTTTACAAAATCATCACATGGTATCAGCCAATCCAAACGACACGAAACGACACTGGTGGTCGGCGCCCCGGCCACTGGGGGCCGGCGCCGGCCTGCCGATGATAGCGCCGGTCGACTCCACCCTCAAGGTGCACCTCGACGGCACCAGTCGTGAGGTTGACGTCGAGTGGGTGTCCCGTCGAAACAAGGTGATTGACGAGGTTTTGCCAGCACCCATAGACTATATCACTATATATCTATGTTCCATCTAATAACCCTGCCGGGGTGGTGGTGCTGGTATATGGTTTTTATCAGCTTACACTCTGAAAGATGCATGGTGACGTGAATGACTCGGGCTGTTGAGGGGGAAAAGGCTCCACCTGCAGCGTAGAGGCGTGATGCCACGGCGTGATACCATGTACCAGGCCCCCGGGCGCGCTGCTCCCCCAGGGAGGAGGATATTGTCGTTTCAACTCAGCCAGGAATTCGTCCAAAGCCTCCCGGAGGCACAGTCGGAGGCTCATTCTCGGCGCCGTGGTGGTGGCAGCTTGGCCCGAAAGAAGTACCTGGACCGCCTCGACCCGAAAAGAGCTCCATGAACTCCTCAACGTTGGTGGTTCCCCACCCTGACATACCGAGGTGACCAGTGGACCCGAATCTGGTCCTTGGGAAAGCTTGGAAAAGGCTGGACCCATATCACAGCCTTCGAGTGGAAGTCACCTCCGAGTAGAAGTGACTGACATGTTTCCACTAAGTGTCATTATTGAATCAGCGGATTTCTGAAAGAAACAAACAAAAGCCATGGGATTCCTAGTATGTATACTTGGGAACCCAACCAAAGACATGGATCATCATGGATCCCATCCAGATGCATCTGATGGAAGATAATAATAAAAAAAAACTAACTCATCACAACAGCTATCTAGATTCAAGTCGAGCTGTTCCCTGCGGCCTACTGGCACCCCAGCCTCAGCCATGGAACCTTCATCCTTAGGGCCTCGGAAGTTCTGCAAGGCATAGCATTGGCCTGCACGCGAGGACCCAGCAAACTGGAGGAACCACGATAGCCCTAGAGGAGGGGGAACCTGACGGAATCTGATGCACATATTGACCCAGACAATTGCTTTGACCCAGCGAGCGGCATAGGCGGAGGTTTGCAGAAGACCTCAAAGGAGATGGAGATTTGCTGCACTTTGACGCATGATGGGCATTTCTATCCCCGCTCAAGTTCTTCACTTAGAAGGATGAACATCAACTTCTCCCCAGCGCCGTTCTCTAGGGCTTGAGGGGGGCACAACGATCACCGAAGGCTCCATCCCCCACCCTGGTTGCAGCCCAGACCTGCTGGAGGCAAGCGAGTGATCTTCTTCGTCTCCTGGATATCGCTCTTAGACGCTCTCATCGACATCATCACTCAAAAAGGTGCAAGTTCGGGCCCACCCCATCAGTTGGAGACCTTTGGGCTAAGAGTCTTGCTATGTCTTGTGTCAAGTACCTCAGGGTTGCGATCCGGAGGCTGGATCCTCTGGGTTATTGACCAAACGTCACGCCCTTGAGTAGTCTAACAAGGGTATATACCAGTTGGTCGAAGGAGTCTGGATTGGTATTGAAAAACTTTAAGTCCGAAGTCGTCTACAGTCTACACCCTTCGACCGTAGACAGACGGTCTACCACCTGTCTGCGCCACTCAGTCTACGTCTGCCGTCTAGCAGGAGTGCCCTGGAATATGTATATTTAGAAGCTCAAATACCACTTATGTTAAGCAGGAAACAACACACATTAAACAAATCAAAGCAAATAACACAAACAACAAAGGCACGTAAACCAGAGCAAACAACCCAGAGCAATAACACACACCAAAAAAACAACAAATCAATTAATGCACACAGGAAAAACACAATGGCAATTAACACACCCGGACAAAAAGCCCCAAAGCACACAAACAAGAACAAAACTAACAACACACATTTAAAAATAACTCCCGACAAATTAAAAAGAACACACACCAAACAACTCATCACACACACATAAAACACAACAAACCAAAGCAAACAAACACACACACACACACAACAAACGTGAACAAACAAACAAACTATCAAACAAACCAACCCAACCCAACCCAAACAACCAAACAGACACAAAGCAAAATGACACACGCAAACAGAACCCAATCGGCCAATCACCCTACAATCGACAACAAACAATGTTCAGGAATCGATCTTGCTCTTTCAAGTATAACATGTACTGTGGCTACGACTGTGCCAAAAAATGCCAGCACGACGAAAACGTGCAAATAGCCATGACTCAGCCTGTTGCATCTTGTTGGATGCTCGCGAGTTGTCTCTCAAGTCATGCTGGGAGTTGCTTTTCCCTCCTCAATCATCGTGCAGCTGATTGATCAAACGCCGACCTTCCTGACATCGTCATCTCTTGATCTGACCTCACACTTCGTTGCTAGGTGCTTTGAACTCGAAGAACACAACAAAGACTAACAAAGCATTCCCAGACACTCCATGTATGCCATATATGCCTACATTGACCCCCAAAACCACCCCAATGTAGGCGTATATGGCATACATGGAGTGTCTGGGATTTGTCAGTGCCATCAAGTTTTCAGCCTGGAACATCCACATTCGATTCCACCGTCTCTCTCCGTCGGCCCGTTTGGCGGCTTGTCGGACGACGCGAACCGCGCGCTGCGGGGAGCGACGGAGCGCATCACTCCTGGGGTCTTAGCTCCCATCGCAGGGAGAAGCCCTCCAGGGCAGCCTCCGAGCGGCATCTCTGGAGCGATGGATGGGCAAATGGAGAAGGATGGAGACTCTATGAGATCCTTTTAGCGAGGACAACATGCTCTGGAACTGCGAGCATACAACATGTGGACACTCTGCAAGGTTCGTAGAGCTCGGCCGCCCATGAAAAACATCTCCGTGCAGAAAGTCGTCACCCCTGCGGCCTGAAGCAAATCGGCAGGGATCTGCTTATCAGCCTAGGATTTGCAACATGAAAGCGGCAGGGAGAGCTTCACATAGTTTCTATAGCGTACGAATGCGTACGACGTACTATGTTGAGTGTTAATTAATTAGAGTCCCCAACTTACTTTGAGAACTTCAAAAATGTCCAATAGATTTATTGAGGCGAGTGGCTTATCTATCTGTGGTAAGAATACAGCAGTGTCATCGCTTGCCACACAAGTCAAACAAGCACCATGAACCATGGACTCTATTGCGGGATATTGCGGGATGATAAAGGAAACTGCCATCAGAGCGACAAGCAAAAAGCCACAAGTCGTCCACAGGTTACTTCATTGTTGACTTGATTGATGGTGCTGGTAGATAGTTTTTTCGTGTGGATGGCAAGCCGACCACGGTGAATGAATTTCTGAAATGTGAGATGCACGGAAATCTGTCCGGTTTTACTGAAACAATTGGAACAAACATGGGACACAGCCTCTCACTAGTGTGTGTGTGTGTGTGTGAGAGACCAAAAACAACAACACACAGCTCACACATATATAGTTAACTCACATAACTCGCATAACAATGATATCATTTGGCCGCTTTCTCCACCGCAGTGGTACCATCTTTCTCCACACATCTTTGACACCCCGCGTGACAGACGTGTCAAAGACTGACAAGACCACCCGCGTCCCGTAGTGGTCCCTGTCGCCTCGTGCGCCACGGTCAAGTTGATGAAGACGTCGATGTTGGGCAACTCGCCGTTGCTCACGCTCGACGCCTGGAAGCAGGGCTGGGTTGGAGGAGTCGAAGGAGGAGGGAGTAGGGAGACCCAGATGAAGCCACCGGTTGGACAGGTCACGGTGGAACACAAGAAGGACTTGATGAGACATCACATGACATCACAGAAGAAAGATCGAGAAAGGACTTCAGCTGATGACTTCAGGATGAAAAACAAAACTTATAGGGTGATTTCTCAGGATGATGTTTGATGAGAAACTGAGAAATTACCTTGCAAATTCTCAGGATGTTCTTCAGGGCTTCGCCTGAGAGCTCATGAGAAATCGGGACATGCATATCAAAGACCAGTGCTTCTCGCCGCCTGCATGCTCGCTGGGTCCGTCGGCGGGAGCGGCAAGACCTGCGTGCTCGAGTCTGGGGTGCTGAAGAAGGCGATGTTTCAGAGAAGTATGTTTCTTGGATTTGCTTACTTAAGGAACCGAGAAAAGATAACACATAATTACTCACCTCAAATCGGGACTTACCCACAGGGAAAACTTGAGAGAGGAGGGGGTGAACGAAAGGCAGCAGGCAATCACAAGTAACCCTGGTAGAAGTCCACGACGGCGTGAACCGGCGCAGGGGGGATTTGATCCCCCCCCCCGACGAACAGAATCAACTCTTACAGGACCAAATTCAATGCACAATCCCAGCTCCTGATTGTAATACATTTTTGCTAAAGCAAGGAGAACTCAGGTAGCTCAAGCTACCTTTCGTGATAATGGAACATACACAATCACCTTGAGCAAAACCAGGGTTTGAGTCGCTTTTCAATTGAGAAATGGCCAAGACGGGAGCTGTGCAAGGTCGTTGTGGAAATTCACAATCGGACAGGAGTCTTACAAAGCATTTCTCCCAAGGTTTTGATTGTTTGGTCCATCCACTTCCGTATATAGAAGATGCAATTAGAATATATACCTCAAATTTGCCACCAAAGTAGTTCAACTTAAGGTATAAGTTCAGGCATCCTGGGCATCCTGAAGTCGATAGATCCTGTTTCACCTCCTTGAAAAAAGAAAACACAACTCTGCCGATCTACCCTCAGTTCATTGCTCAAAAGGATCCTTGTGCTTTAGGGTCCAAATACTCATCTGATTGGAAACCCCGGGCCCCAGTCGTCTTGCTGCGTCTTGGGGAAGAAGTCGTCTTAGACAGCTTCTCCACTTGTTCCACCATTCTCAGCTGCGGGCCTTCCACAATTGTGATGTCTTTCCCTTCCACCACTTCAGCCCCAAGTTGACAAGCTGCTTCTTTCTCTGCAAAAAAAACACAAGGCAACAAACAAATGCTGCCGCTAAAAAGGTGTGTGCCTCAACACGCACCATGGTTGCATCAACCAAATCGTCCAAAACACTGAAACCCTTCTAACAACCAAAAAACTCGAGAGCAAAATAACAAAACCAAACACAGAATCCCAGAATCCAAGATGAGGACTCAATATTTCTGATCATATTTTTGGCCCCTAGAAGCTAGTACTCTTTTTTGTCAAGGACCTGTGTGGGTTATTTTCCATCTTTTCATGGCGTTGTAACAAACCGTCCGGGCAGCACCAAACCTCCCTTCGTGTCGAGCGACGGTCCAGATTTCGGCATTGAGCTGCGGTACTGCGGACGACCAAACAGCCTGACGGTGTGTGTGTGTGTGTGAGACTGTGTTGTCTTTGGGGGGCCCTGGTGGGGGAGAGGTGTGGAGAAGAACAAGGAAGTGTAAATGCAAAACATTTTCAGTGATATATACCTGGACCTCAAAAATGCATTTTGTCTGTCTGTGCCGGACGACAACAGGAAGGATCCAAATCACATGACCAACAACAACGCATGTCGACGCAAAGGTTACCAAAAAATGACAACGCTGTGGTGCTATTTGTTCGAGCTTCGCCTGAAAATGGCCCCCCCCTTCTTCCTCCCGGCCCCCACCGGACAACAATCCTTTAAATTGTATTTTTCTAGTCATGTCTATGGCGTTTGATGGCTGAAAATCATTGGACGTGCTGATGAGTCTTCATCAGATTCACCCAACTGAGTGGTGCATGAACAATCACGGCTGCTTCTTTCTCCACGGCTGCACATCTACATGTTGCCTGTCTGAGTGTTGAGACCGAACATGCAAAAGTAAGCCACCGAAAAGAGGACAACGTAAAGGATTGGATGACGACGCAAAGCGGCCGCCAGGGGGCCCGCAGAAGCGGTTCCAAGAATCAGCAGCGACCGTCTGAAGAAGTATGTCGATGGGGTCCTTGCTCCTAGTAGTAAGGCCAAGAGCCCCTAGTAGCATCCTTGCTGCTAGTAGCTTCCAAGATAGTTCCTAGTGCCTAGTAGCTTTATTGTTCCAAATAGCTTCAAAGACCTACTAGTAGCTTCTTGTTACTACAGGTGAAACGATTCCCAAGGAAGACCAGAAATGCCACCTTCGTGGCTTCAGCTTCCCACCCACGTCGCTGCTTGAGGCCCCCCGCCTGACATTGACCACTGGACTGCAAGTGTTCGTAGAGAACCCCAGTGGCTTGGTGCCTCGGATGCGCCAGGCGCACCAAGTGGATGGTTAACCTACAAGGAGGGTCTCAGGTTGAACTAGACAAAACGCTATACGCATACTGAGGTGCTTTCCCAAGCCTTTCCCAATCTCATTCTTGGACTAAAATGCTGGATGCTTCAAAGGCTGTGGCTGCAAATGAGATTCCGAGCATCGACGAACATATGATGTTTGACACCCTCACTTCCCCATGCCTCCATGAGATCCTGGAACATGGAACATGCTTGGAGTCAAAGTCATCTCAAGTCATTGTTCCAAGTAGCATGCAGGATGCTGGTGGCCAGGCAAGTTGTCCAGACAAAGGGACACTTGGGACATGCTGGAATGCGAAGATAGAGTTGAACAGGTCCCATCACTGCTGAATCTAATAGATGATGAATGAATGATCATGGATTTTGATGCTTAGGTTAGTGGCCAAGAACTCAAACACTGGTCCCCCTCTCTGTGTGGCCCCCACGCACGACTGGTCGCATCAACCACCAAAAAAGCACACTTGCACCTCTCACCAACACGACAGTCTCTTTGCACAACATCAACACACCTTCAGAAAACTGGTCTTTCGGCCTTCGGCCTTTGCCATCCAAGATGTCCCTGGAGTTCCCCAAGATTTCCCTCCAGCGCGCCCCATGATTGAGCTCACGACCAAATGTAGAGGTAACCACTCTCCGAATGCAAGTAGTACCCCTGCGGTGCTAAACATGTTCGGCGGGATAGGTCCAAAGAAGGACCAAACTTCCAGTGAGCCTGACTTCGCATAAACAAAAAAACTGGACCTTTATGACAAAGACTATATATTGTATAATATATGCTCCTTTTCGTCTAATAATTAATTAATAAGTTTTTGTAAAACAAACTTCCAAGCATAGACGATCCAAATATGTTCGGGTGTCCAGTTGTCACTTCGGTGGAGCTGTCCAAGCGGATTTCTCTACCTCGGGCAGTTCACAGGTCTTCCAACAATACGTTCCAGTCTTGAGTCTAGATGTGCTCTGACAGGGTGTGTTCCTCTGCAGACTTGCGACCCATTTTTTAGACCCATACCCGATGGATCCCAAGAATGGCAGCGATGGATTATGGATCCTCTGGCAGTTGTCAATCTTTCACAGCAATGTAGTCTGTTGATTAGTCAACCCGCCATACGAAGAGGTTTTACAATCCAAACTCATGGGGTATCAAGAGCCGAGTTTTCAGTGAAGACCTTGGTTTATTCATGACGATAGTTCTTCTCATCCAAAAAGCAACAACGCCCCCAATCACGGTCCCCTGGTCCCCTTGACATGCTGGATGTTGCACATGGCACGACGTGGCATGATGTGGCACGCTGCTTCCGCCCCCCAGAACGCCTTCATGGTGTTTCCATCGATCTTCCATCGGTCTTTGGCATCGGCAAAGGCTTTGAACATCAGCCTGACCGCCAGCCGAGACAGCAGCGGCAGTCCGGCTGGGTGGTGGTGGTGAGAAGAAAAGCAAGCTTGGTTCATGTTTCATGACCCTTCACGACATTTTGCGGGTTCCAAGATGCTTGTTTGGGGGGAAGGTATTGATGTATTTGATACATTGTTGCTGGGGTCTCCAGGTCTAACTATCTTCTTTGGGGGCACAAATCAAACATAATCAAACATCAAACGTACACAATCTGCAGAGATTCAATGGCTCTCGTTTCTCAGTAATGTGAAGGTACATGACCAGAAATCATTCAGTGATTGATCAAGGAACCCAACGCCAATGCAGCCTCGAAATCCACCCAAAGGAGCCCTGAATGGACGGTGTTGAGGATATTCCAAACAGTGAGAAAGGTTCTGCCATGTCCTTCTCCTATTCCCAAACTCCCGTGGACTACTGACCTACACCTGAAACCACCCCAATACCCAGACACTCCATGTATGCCATATATGCCTACATTGATCCCAAAACCACCCCAATGTAGGCGTATATGGCATACATGGAGTGTCTGATTTACAACAACAAAGGCCAGTCGGACGGAGTGGAATAGCAAGCGAGCTTTCGCCGAATACTCCGCCGAGCCAGCGGATCGCGGACAATATTTGGCACCCCTGAGGAAAGCCCACGTCTAAAGCAATGGTAAACTACGCAACATATGGAGTTCCTGTCAGCTTTAGATGTGAAGTTGTCGATCGAAGATCGACTCAGTGACAGGATCCACTCAGAGTGGCAAATGTTAACCTTTGATTCATGGCTCCTGCAAATATGCAGGCACTCGTCACTGGTAAAAAGAAATTAAAGAAATCCAGCTCTTTGGGGAAGGCTTCGTACAGCAAAGCTCCTCACGCTCCTCCGTTTTCAATCACCACAGCTGTCACTGCAGACCCTTAAGTGTTGGGCACCTGGCGTATGGGTCTGCATCACCATACGCCTATCGATATCTGTTGAACCACTGGAACCAGTGGAATGATGGTCCATTATCGTCCATCCAAAACGGTGGGACCCAAAGACCCTTCTACCAAGGGAAGGGAAAGGATCACCTGCCCAGCTAGTGGTGCCTATGTGGCAAAAGCCATCTCCCAAGGCTCAAGTTGTGAAAGGCATTCCCTCCGCGACTCCCACTCCGGCCCAGCATGACATGATGGGTTGGATGATGTTAAGGTCTCGCATGGTCTCGCGAAAGCGTTTCATTTTACACTCGCAGGCGTTTGGCGAGGTCAAAAAGTCGCTTCAAGTGCTGTGGCAGTAGGACAAACTCTGACAAAGCTTGAGAAGAGCTCAGTTTCGCTTGCCACATCGCGGTCAAACATCTCAACTGGCTCTCTTCATCTAAGGGCAAATTTCGGGAGACCTCTTCTTGAGACAGCTCGCTACCAAAAATCTCCTGCGGAGGCGGCAAGGCTATATCTACCTGGAGTTTCAGTTCATACCTCGGAAAACGGGTATTTTTAGGCCGGGTGAAGTCCCAATTGTTCCCAGGTACTTTGGAGGGTCCAGGTATAATCCCTGTAGGCTCCCCCGCATCCTCAAAGCCTAAATGAGGCCATGTTAGACCCCGCTGGCACCCCAATCACAGAACCGAAACGGAGGTAGGCCGGGCCAAATGGACAAGACATTCACTTAAAGTCCTCATGGTGCGACTCGTCGCCATGTCGAGTCATATGCTGTGCTCCGACCCTAATTACCAGTATAAGGTGCCAGGCTCGGCCTACTTCTCATAAGCTTATTACGAAGAGAATCAGTCAAAACATGCACTGCTTCACCTGCAGTGCACATAATAGCTTCCCCTCTTTCAACACGTGGCGCATCCGGCCGAACGCGTCCGGCGGTCCGAGTCTCCTGGCAACTGCGCAGCTCGCGATCCAACGACCGCAGCGCCTTCTCCGCAGCGACCAGCCGTTCAGCTGCAGCCCGGCGCGTGGGGCCCAAGTCCTAGACCGGGAAAGCAACAAATCATTTGTTTGCGCTGCTATCAACCTAAGAGCGATGGCCTCCAACCTATAAGAGATTTTTGGGCAGGACAAACTGCTCAAAAGGTCAAAAGGCAGCTGTTGAATTTACACCATTTGAGATTGCTATCATTCATGCATGATATCCAAATGAGATCGATCAAACTCATGTGACTCTTGTGTCTTTCAAGTGACTTCTCTACACTCAAACCCCCTCCAAACGATCGAAGGCATTTTCTGAAGTGGTCGTGTGGCAGACCAGACCAGAAAAACCACACGTGTGCACCGTCTATTCCCATCCAATGACTGGGATGCTCTGGGGCACCCCCAAGCTCCCCATCCGTCCTCCAGGATCTGTTGGATCGCTTCACAGGCCTCCGGAAGCGATTTTTTCGCCTTTGAGCCATGAAGAGGTTCAACCTACAAACGCGATGGCCTCCAGCCTCATGACGCATGTTTTACATGTAAAACAATTCTCATCAATTCTCCAACCTAATAGCGAGGGCCTCCAACGAAGAGGTTTAACAATGAGATTTAGTACTTCTGAATGCTAAGACTGGAATCTTCAGGTGATTCATGATTCTAAGATTCAACTCATGGATTCACAGAGATTTTGTGTGTGTTCAATCCCTCCTTATGAATTGAGATGTTTCAGTCTTGGAACTCCATGTTCCGTCACATTGGTGGTGCTCCCGAAATGATACGTTGGATCCCTAAGCTGAGAAGTCGACCTTCCCGACATGAGACGCACCAAACACAGCCGGGGAACCAGAAAAAGGACCGCTCCAACCGGAAAGCACCGCTCCTTTGTGGAGACCTCCTTCCTTCGCGGTCGCTCTGTGACCTCTGTGCGGTTGTCTGAGAGCGAGGTTCGAAGCATCTGCTTCAACTCCAGGAAGACTTCTGTGATGAAGTGGGCGGCCTGAGGAGCAGATCTGCCCACCCAGAACTAAGTGTCCGCTGGCGCCGGCGCCGGCAAGGAATAGACATCACATGAAATAATTAAAAATGAAATAGCTAAAAAAACACATGAAATAAAAAACACTACATAATTTGAGTGGAAGTGGCTAAGAACAAGACCACTTAATGTGGGTTTTGACACTGTTTTTGACATGCAAGTTCGGGATTTTAGTCACTGCATTGTTCGCAATCGTAGGGGAATGGTCTTGGCTAAGACTCGAGATCTCGTAGCATCTCACACCCTCAAGAATGGCAAGAATCCATATACTTGATCGTACTTGGAAAGGACACTTGAACCAGCATTGGAGGTGGAAAAAATCATGAATTTCACATAATTTCACCACCTACAAGTGACTTCACCGGACTTGGCTGACCAAATCCACTCATCCCACCTTGGCAGCTGGTTGCACCAAGCAGGTGCCGCTGCTCGACTCATCAATGTCCTGGGCGGTCTCCAGCTGAACGTCACCTGTCCGGCGCCGCTGGTCTACTGCAACGCCTGTGGACGCGTGTGGCCAAGCCGATCACTTTGAGGTCTGCTTAAGCTTATTCAATTTAGATGTTCGAAAGCCAAATGAACACCAATTACAATCACGCACTGTTGAACAACCAAAAGATTGAACAAACATGAACACTCAAAACTCGGTTCACCTCCTGCCAGCCTTCGCGGAACACGGCGCTGTTCCTCCCCCGCCTTCGCTGTCCGTCACTTCCGGTGCAAGGCCCGTCGACCCGGCGGGAACGGCCAGGCCCGTCGCAACGGCCGCCTCGGCCGCTCGTTCTTGCTGCGAGGAACGTGGTCGTGCCGAGTGGGGGGTGAGTCTGCGCTTTTTTGCGTCTTGGTATCGTCAGCCCAAAGGATCATCCCCAAAACCAACCGCGAGCCTCCAGGATGGTGACTCAAAATTCTCCACAAAGGGGGTTTGCTGCCGATGGACTTCTTCAAGACTTGAGGATCATCTCAAGGTTCAATCCCCTAGGGCACCTGGCCCACATCCTCAGAAGCTAGTTAGACCCGAGTGGCAGGCATCCCCAGACACCCGCCAGAATCGCACTTTTGGAGGTTTACAGGAGCCCCAACCGTAGCCCACTCATGTCGGGACCTCCATCCCCCTCATATGGGCCAAATCGCATCCTGACATGCACTGCGCTGCAGTCCTTCGCTGGGCTCCTGGCAAACTCGCCCAACTCGTCGACAGCGAACACTGGTCGAACCGGACCGGTCTTTCGATCTGTTTTTGGGGCCTCGAGATCTGCGTGGTTGGTCGATGCGAAAGCTCGAGCTCCGAGCGTGGAGGCGCGTGGTTCGTCCCACGTCGGGTCCGCGCGAGCTCCGCGCATCGGCAACGTGGGGCACCGGTGATCGGACCTGGTGAAACCAATGGATTTGATCAGCCTTTCTGTTGCCTTCGGTTCGCAATGAGTTGGATGGCATGGACTACACCGAGCGGTGGAGTAGCACAGGTGGGTGAGTTCTTTCGCTGGGAAGCTCCCTCAGCTACGAGACATTGAGACATTGATAGTGCACTTAGTTAAGCAGTTTGCCCAAACAAGACTTTGAGAACGATTGTGAATTGTGACTATCTTTGTCTTGAGAACTTATTAGTGGTTTTCGCGCTGCTCATCGACACTTTCGGCGACTTTTTGACAATTCAGTTTGTCATAAGGTACATAGCCATGATTAAAACACCGTATCTCTCAAAAATAGCTATCGATGCTTCCAGAAGTTCATGCTCTCCTGAGTCACCTCTGGCTGAGTCACTTCATATCAAACCAAATCATGAGCTCAGATTGATTGGATCTGTTTAGATGTCTCCACTCAGTCTCAGTCTAACGACGGCGGTCCCATCGATACCGGACTCACTGGACCTGTCGTGGGACCGCTGTGATTCAAAAACCTCTTCCACCAATCCAAAGGTTGTCCCGAACATGGAGGATGTTTGTGTCATTTTTATCATCCAACCAGGGTGCCTGGGTTTTGACCCACAGTCACTTCAAAAGCCGGTACCGGCCTTTGTCCGACTGAGGAATTGAGTAGTCATGTCGACCAAGTGATGAGCACCAGCTTCCCAAAAAAGCACCTGAAAGCGCATGCTGCGGCCCAGCGGCTTTTTTTCTGCACGCCAAATATCCCCCAAATCGTCAGTCTTATTTAATTTAATGTTGCCTCAGTTCAGGGTTGGGTATGGGGCTCAACTTTTGGTTCATACTGTTCTAGGTAGCAAGGTACTCCCACGACACCAAATTGCAGCACTGGAACACCCTCGTTCGTGTCTCTTTGCAGGTCGACTCCAGTTGAAGGGGGACCTATCCGTTTGCCATGGTAAATGATCTGACGTTGGCAGACATTGCACTCTCAACTGATCTCAACTGGCTTGACTCAACCCCAAAGTATAATAGTTGAAGTACACAAAGCCAGCCTGCCAAACAAAGAAAGACCGTGCATGCAAGAAACATTGCAAACGTTCCCGGAGGATTGAGGAACAACTTTGCAAGAAAAACATGCTGCGAAATAAAACCAGGTACCACGGTACCCATGCAAGCATCACGCGAACTTACCGGAATCAGCTATTGTGTCATGTGGCCCGGTCAAATCCAATCATGGTGTATGAGGCTTTCGTGACTTTTGTGTTTGGCTTTTATGCTAAGCATGGTCAATGACCGCCGACCGCTGCTTTCAACGCAGCCCAGCACCAGCAAGGTGGAACAAAACACGGGGGTGCGACCTGGTCAAGTTCACCAGTTCATGCGACCTGGTCATCTGATCAAATCAATGAGCTTTGTAGGCAGCAATGCCTTTAACGGCCTTTAATGCCTTTTGCATGCTTACTTCTGCGGAAGAGTGTCCTTCTGATGATGGTGCATGCATAGTGCCTTCCTTGGATATAGGCTTGACAAAAAGTTGAAAGGTATATATATATATATCCACACAAAGGCCACCATAGAGCTTCAACAACATGTACTAAATCAACCACAATAATAACATTAAAACAAGTAACTCGTATATTGAAAAGGCAATGAAAGATGGACAGCTGCAACGTATCCTATTGAACATCATTCTCATCCTCATCCTCATCATCATCCTCATCCTCATCCAATGGTCCAATGCCTAGCTAAAAACAAAGAACCACCAAAGCAAAGGATCTCGTAGGGACCCACAAACCCATCGAGACTTGTAAAGCAAACAGGAACCAACGCCATCGTCATCGAGGGCCCAACGGGCGGTTGCCTTGGACCCCCGTTCCGGTCCCAACGGGAGTATACGATGCGGAGGTTCATGTCATCCAATTCTTCACCACTGACTTTCCTCCAATGATTTCCCAAAAACATTAAACAGAAAAAACAAGTTCTTGAGTCTTAGGCCCAGGTTCAGCTCCTGATTCTCTCTCTCCTGCTCCTTCTGGAAGGCCTTTGCTTTACGCAGCTCCTCCTCCACTCCCCACTTCCCCTCCTCTTCAGGCCGCGCGGCCTGACGGGCGAAGCGGTGGGGGTTCGTCCCATGGGGCGAAGGTGCCCATGCTGTCGAAACGGTTGTTTCGTTCAAACCGGGTCGTCTGACGGTCTAAGGTGCCCATGTGGAAGGTCCGAAACGCTGCCGTGTTGCATGTGTGGCATGTTGTCTGACCATTTAATATGTCACAGTGTAATTGGAAGCCGGCCGGCGCAAATAAAAAACAGCGTATAGTCTTTTTTGTGATGTCGCCTCTAGCGAAACAGCAACGTTTCACAGAAGACGAGCTTTTGACACCCTTTAACCCTTGCCGCAGGGTCGCTATACCCGAGTTTTCGGGGCTGATGAGTAATGAGAAGCAATTTAAATGTTTCAAAACTGCTTGATGGCTATCGGCGGGGCTTAGACATATCATATCCAAGAACACAATGTTTTGTTTCTACAACTTGTGTATATAACCTCCATCAAGAGAAACACACAAACTCTCACCGTGCATTTGCAATACTACTGACATTTGCCACACAAAAGCCACTTGCAACAAATCCACTGGCGGACAAGAAGCCTTAATGTACTGTTCCAATTCTTGAACTCGCTCTTCAGCTGAAGCACAACGCTTCTGCAAAGCTTGGTACTCCTGGCATGAAGATCTGCTCTGCTTGTCTCCCCAAAGAATTCACTGAGCTTCTGGAATCAACGATCCGCTGTCGAGACCGATGTGGAACGAAAATAATTGAACCCATCCATCCGCATGTCGTCTTTAGTTTCTTTTTCTACACAATGTTCATGAGGGATTCAATCCCATGCGAAACAGCTTTTTCCGAATTCCTCCACTCCAAAGCTCGAGCGAGCCAGCGACACGAACTCGTGCGCGCGACTCCCGTCACCGCGCTGCGTCGCTCCACCCATTGCGTCGGTCCATTGCTCGCTGCGTCGCTCCGCTCGAGGAGAGCCTCTGGGGCGACCATGGAGAGCGCCCAGGAGTTCTCTTCGGGACATTCGCCACCCAGGTCGGAGATCACCTGCTTCAAGCGGCCAAGCTCCCGGCGCGCCTGCGTGGGAAGGTGGAGAGATGAGCCAAAAAGGAGGCAAGCAGAGTGCCGTCTATTTTAGGAGATATCTGCCTAATACACCCTAATACCCCGAATGGTGGTATTGAGTTGGATGAAGAAATCTTCCATTCTTTCAACTCACCTGGGCAAGTCTACCTGCACCTTCTCCCATGCCGATTGTGACTCGCTGACGAGCTGCCTGCTGCTCGAGCTCGGCCTTTTCACGCCGCAGCTTCTCCGCCTCTCGGAGGCCCTCGCTGCGGACCTCCGCCAATTGCCTGCAAAAAGCGACCGGGCACGAAGCTGGAAGCCTGGAAGCCGCACGAGACGGAGGATGTACTCGCACCGCTTGATGTGTCGCGAGTTCGGCATCAGTCGAGCCGAGTGCATCGGCTCGGTCGAACTCGGCACACCGAGTTGAAGAGGGAGACGGTCTAAGAGTCTAAGGCTTGGGCAAGCTAGTACAGCATTGTGGTGTGTAGGTCAAGGCGAGAAGCGGTGTATTGAACCCGAACATGTTTATATAGATGATTACTCAATACGACTGAATGAACGTAGGTAAAATTGGTTGCAAGTCTAGTGAAGAAGCACGTGACAGACTTGCATTTGATGCCAGACTTGCTTTGGTACTTTTTCCTGTTTCATGATCGCTCCTTTGATTTTGCTAAGCTATGAAACAGTAAACTTTATGCATGACTGCATGACCCTCACTGACCGACCCTGACCTGCTCCACTCTGCTTGGCTTTCAACATATTCTTGAGCTTGCCTCGTCGGAGTCGTTGGGGCATTTCGAGATGGTGTTCATGGACAGGCAACTAGTGTTGATGTGGATCCACCCTACCATGGCAGCATGCTACACCTGCATTGCGTGTAGTATATAATATATATAGTATATATACTACATACTTCCTATAGGTCCTATAGTTGATAAAGGTTGATCTGTCATGATTTGTCCCATCCTGTCTCGTGACAATTTGGATGACCGAATCAATATTTGTGGTAAAAAGGGTGCTACATGGTGTTACTAATGTTGATTCACCTGGTGGTGTAAACACTCCATCTCAGGTGGTGCAGGATGTTCTTCTCAACAAGGTGCTTGAGGTAGGGTCACTTGCGGGACCCCCCGGCAGGCCTGTTAGGCACTGGGTTTTGCCATGTGTTTGCAATTACAGCTGCTACAGTATTGTTCTACCTCAAGCACCTCTTGTCACTTGTGCAGCAAAATACCTCAAGCAACCAAAGTTGATCTGACAGAGCTAGGTCATGCAGGAGAAAACGGAATCAATGTTTGGCCGGTCTTGGTCCTGGTAGGAACATGGTCGATAGTGAACCTGGAGAGCACCTTGAGCTCCTCAGCTCCTGTATCATTGTATCATGCAAACTTTATTCCCGTCACCAAGCTAGCTCTCTCTCTCTCTCTCTTTTCTCTCCAAGCAGCTGTCGGATGTACTGATTCAGCTCTTCCAACCGCTCGGCCGAGACGCTCCGCGGACTCGCGCGTGTGCGTCCCGCGCGCGGGTCCGCCGACCCATGCAGGTCCGCCGACCCGCGCGGGTCCGCCGCGTTTCGCGCCACGGGTGTGATGTGCTCGGGGACCTGGAGGAGACGAATGGTATGGTCAGCTTTGACCAACGGCGAGGTTGAAACAAGCATGGGAGGCAAAGCGTGCGATCTCAGAGGGCGACCACTGAATGCACCTTGGAAAAGGGTTCATCCTAGGCATGCAAGAACATCGAACATCAAGCCACCATCAAGCACGCGTGCCTTGATGGGTGAAGCCTCTATCTCTCGGAGGAACCGACGGAACCCGACAGCCCTTCAGGCAGCCACTCCGAAGGGGACGACCTCTCTCGTTTCGCAGCAAGTGGGCGACCTACCTAAATGAAACGATCGATATGGTTGACGTCGTCATGATGGTGTTCGCCTCTTTTCCCTCCCCAAAACAGAAACAAATGAAATCCAGGACTCTTGGCCAACACGGCCCTGGCCATGTGGGTCATTCGAAAGGAGTTTGGGCACGGTCTTCCTTCTTTCTCACCACGCTCATCATCCTCACAAACCCACGCCTCCGCCCAAAGACTGAGACCTTCTCAGGTCTCCCCAGCTGCGCCTGCGCTTGTAGCAGCGCTTGCGAAGCATCGAAACCAGGCATCCGCTTGGCGATCTCGTGCACCGTCTGCTGGTACCACTCGTCTGCGTGCGTGGGGGCCCGATGGCTTCGGCTTCGGATGGCCCGAAGTCCGGAGCGCGGAAACGGAGTGGGGAGAGACGTCCCGAAGAGCATCCCATCGTTCGCATGCAGAAGCGGAAACGGAGTGGAGAGAGAAGCACCTGGACTTCACAGAAAGGGTCGGCTCTGAGTAGCTAAAACATGCCAGAACAATAACAGTGAGTGATGAAAGGTAAATGAAAGGTATATCCGAAAAATCGTTGAATTTGGTACTATCTGGTAGTTCTGCGGAAGTTCCTGTAAAGTTGCGAAACAACACGATCAAATCACTGTCGTCGGTTTACCATGGTTTACCTACTTCCAGTTGGGTCACGGTGTTTCCTGCTCCCTAGGAGTTCCCAAGTCAATGGCTTGCTCTGATCTACTTGGATTGAACCACATCAGCTGTAAACGCCAGGCCCAACGTCTGCGACGATGCGAAGCAATGCGAAGCAATGCGAAGCATCTCATTGTGCAGGGCCCAAGCAACGACAGTGACCAGCAGCTGCTGGTCACGGTCGTGCATGGCTATAGTTGAGATATGTTGAGCAGAGAACTAACACTTTGTTTTGCACTTCTTCAACCCTTTGGACCAGCCAGTAGCCTACAGAACGCCAGGATTGTTCTTGTTTTTGGTCCACTTGGTCAGTCGACATTTCATTTGTACATTGGCACATGTAAAGAAAACTCAATGACATCTCATTGTTGCCCACGAGAACTATGCAATACAATCATCTTAAAGTTTGGACTAATGATATATACTCTACTCCATGTCCTTCCTCCCTCTCCTGTGGCCGCCCGGCTGTCAGGCGGGTCCCGCCCGGATCGATCGAAGCCCGAGGCCACCGAGGCACCAGTGAAGCCATGTTGTTTCGTGATGGCCTGGAGGGCCTGGGGACAGACTCGTGGAAGACTGATCTGCTGCGTCATAGGAGGCTGGAGGCTTCTTGGAATGCGAGAATGGAGCCGATCAGGTATCTAAAGCATCAAATCCTCCACGAAGCATCAGTCAGAAGAACACACATTACTTGGAGGATCTTCGAGCTATCCCAGATTGCTGTCATAGCCGGTTGTCCGCTGGCATGTTTGTCCCTGGTGTTTCTTCTGTTAAAACACACTGACCTTGTCACTCCCCGTGTAGCTTGTGTCACTCACGCTGTGGCTCTCTGTCTGGTCAGTTGCTGCCACGCAAAATCCGGGGATTGTGCGATCTGGTTTCCCTATACAAGTTGAAGGACCCTATGCATATTAGTGACTATCCCAGTTGGCTACCCCATGGCAGTAGGGTCACAGGTCCTACGGCTTCTCTGTTACATGTTGAACATCTCGCATGTTGAAGAACCCGACAGCGACAAAATGTATGACCCCTACATTAGATAGGGCCCTGGGGGGGCCCCCTCAATTAATAAAATTAACTAATTGAGGGGGCACATACCTGAGTTTCTCATAATTAATTGAGGAGGGGGTACCCCTCAATTAATTTTCTATAAATCTAGCTTAGGGCCCCCCCTACCCTCCCTAACTCATCGACATCTCGCAAACCCCTCAATGAATTTCCACCGGGGACATTCGGGGAACATGGTACCTCCCCGGAACCTTGTATACACACAAACGTGCACACACACAAATAGTACCTCCCGGAAGGATAGGATGGCAGAGAAGGGAGCCGGAGGAGTGAAGGGGCAATGGCGAAGGGGGAGCGGATCGCCTAGCTATACATACCCCAACCGGTGACCAACCCTGAGTAGGGTATTAAATTTGATTTGACTAAGTAACATAAAGAAAAAAAGATAATTGAGACAAATTAATTCATGGGTCCCCCCCCCCTCCAATTAATTTTTTAAGTGGAGGGGTCATCAATTTTTTTTTATATCTTCCTCTCCAAGGTCCTTTTCTCAGTGTGGTGAAAAACCTCTCTTGGTTTCACTTGTGTGTGTGACATGCGTGGGCAAGTCTCAGTTGAAACCCTAGCATCTGACGGTGCCTTTACCAGGTGTCTGAAAGAAAGTGCCGACGTGAAGGAGGCAAGCCATTGGCCACGATGGGGATCATGGAAGTCAAAAGCCAGAGCCCTAAACCCTGGCAAGTTGACCTCCCTCCCCAGTAGTCTAGTTATGTCTAGTCTATATCTCATTTCTGTGATCAACCAAGGTCTCCAGGATTGGAACTTTCAAATCACAGACCTGGATAGACCTGCTGGTTCTGTTTTGTCACTGCTGCCCTTCTCCGGACCTTCCCTTTTCTCGTCGGACGTCAGTGTTGCTCTGTTCTCCTTCTCAGAATCAATGACTGCATGGCGCTTATAGTAGAGAATCAGGGAATGACTGAATGACCATCTGAATGACCCCCCTACATTCCATTCCATTCCATCTCACTCAGCAGTCAGAATCTGCTCTCCACAATACCGTACCACCACCACCGCTGCGCCGATCCCCCGCCCGAATCGGGCACCTGGACCATCTGTGACATGCGCTGCTGTGGTTCGTCATCGGCCAGTCCTGGAGGAGGCTCCGGTTCGGCTGGGACACCAAGGGCTCGGGCCCGGACATCGCGGGGTCGGGCGAGCTGCTTGGAGGGTGGACAGGTCCCTGTGTTTGAGAGGCGGATTGGATCTGCACCAACCAATGGAAGCCCTCCAAGAATTCCAGGCGTCCCCGAAGTGTGAAGGGAAGTCCGCCCTTCGTTTGGGGCGGGCATGAGCCCCGCAATCTCCAAAGCCGCCCACAATGGACTCTGTGGGATTGGCTACTCCCATGGAACGCATATGGATTCGCTATGGACTAGCCACAATAGCTGCTACATAAGAAGAAAAGAAACAAACAGGTCCGAGGGGTGAGGGACAAACAGTTCTCAAATTGATTCATGAGAGACTGCTCATCAATGCAAAGTATTGCAAAGTGACATTGTGATTGCTTCATTTATCTATGGCCTTTTCCATGAATTATTATTAGAAAACGCCATGATTATTCATTAATTGTCTATATGAAAATCAATGACTGATATTATATTAGTTCTTTCCATCTTATAACTCAATGATTGCCAACTGTTATTTTTATTAGTTGGCAAGGTCGTCTACTAGTCTAATATATATATATATATTATGGGCGTTTCTATTTATAAAAGATCTCATAACTATTTAAAAAAGCCAGGGATTTTGCCCATCTTTCTCTTATGAGCAAAATCCTATCATGTCATCTTCTCTCTTTATCTTGGGCATTTTATCATGAAATCTCTATGTAAAATGCCCGGACACCAAAATCCCTCCGTGCCTCCCACGACTCGGGCGGCCCGCGACCGTGCCGCAGTGCCGTGGTCCAAACCAAGGAACCTTGAACATCGGTCCACAGCAGATGGTCATAACCTGAAACCGCGTGTTGGGAAGACGAAGACGGCGGGTCCCAACAACAAACCGTCCGTTTTGGTGGTGTTTTTGGTTGTTGAATTGAAGTCATGGATGTGTAGAAGCTTGAAACAAAACATGGTTGATCTGTTCAGTGCTGCCAATCAGTAGGTTATACGAGAAGGGGAGTGCCAAAGAAAGCCAAGAAACCAGAATTTCTGCATGCGTGACATGTGCCGAGCTCGTTCACAGGCACGAGTGAAAAGGGCACATCACTTGAACTCCAAATCTGAGACTCTGAAACAGAACCTGGGTCTAAGCGTTGACCTCGCCTGTTCCGGACCGTCTCCCCCCCAGCACCAATGCAAACACACGAATTCGGATTAAAGGCCTGCGCGCACGGGATCTTGAAACCTGCTAAAGTCTTCCATGGAAGCCTGGTAATCTGCTCGCGCAAATCCAGTCAATGTTGCACCCACGTGCACAAACTGATCCATGGCACCGCACCCGACCTGTCTGCTGACTCTGGCTGGAAAGCAAAATCAACATGTTTGTCTCTTGTCGTGGATACTGCAGGATGACTGTGTGGCTGTGTAAACGGATGTCTTTGGCACGTGCCTCTTTCTCTCCAGGTGTTGACCCCGTGGTGCTGCGCAAATTGGCCTTTGCTTTCGGGCAAATCTTGTGAGCGACAGCTTAGTCGCAGCATGTTTAGTGCAGTATGTTTAGCTGATAGTCAGCTTGTTTTCGTGCAAGTCTTCTGCGTTCGCCGATCTTCACCATGTGTTCCTCTGAGTTTCTACCCGTCGCCCCCTCTGTCCACGCCCTGGAAGAGCAGCAAATGCGGAGAGCAAATGGGAGTACTCGGTACTCCTGACAGCGAAGTGAGCTATTTTCAGATGTGGGGAGTTTCAGGAGATGCGTCAGAAGGTCCGAGTCCAAACCCTCCACTTTGGAGGATCCCCACATCCCAACGTCTCACCGAGTAGATCTGTCGGGGGATCCCTTTTGTTTGACTCCCTTCGTAATCCATCCGATTCAATGGCAACCAATGCAGTCGATACAAAGAATGAACCAATCCAAACACATGTCCAGTTTCCGCTCGTATTTTGAATATCTGGAGAAAACAAAAACCCATCGCAGACCTCTATATCTATCTACTCAGGGATGACATACTTCGTATAGGTGAAGAGCCCCAGCAGTTTTCACAGGAGCCCATTAGGTTCACACAGAACATCACCCACTGCTCATCACTGCTCATGATGTCTAGACACCCAGCCATGGAATACGATGGCTCCCAGGCTCTTCCACCTGAGCTCTTGTTCTGTTGGAGGTTGGACCTCCTGGCGTTGGGCAGGCAGACGAGACGAGACTAGGACCTGACACTGCGAGGACGAAAAAGACGACTCCACTCCACGATTTAACATATATAGTTATATATTTATGATAATATATTTACATCAAAGGTGGTTCAGCATGTCTTCCAAGAACACCATGAAGTGTGCAGCAAAGGGTCTCCCAAACTTGCGCAACTCGGACACCGGCGTGTTGCGAACCTGTCACACCCTGCGATGTGACGCAGTCCGACTCGTGCGTCAGGAGCGGTCAGCGTCACAACGGTGAACCCGAGAGGGACCTATAGGCCATAAAGATCACAGAATGGCGTGCCTCTGATCAAAGGCAAACATTTCGCATGTGGGCGCTTGTGGGGCTAGATGTACATTCCCAAACACGGTATTCTGTGGAAGCCCCCAACCAATGGGTTGTGCCTTCTTCCAAGGGGTTGAACTGGAAGGTCTCCCTATATACACAATACACACGTCCATCCGCCCGTATGCAACTGGTTGATACCGCTGATGCTGTCGCGATGAGAATCGCTGGGTCATGCTGGGTCATGCTCAATGATCACATGATATCACAGGAGACAAAAAAGGGTATGTCCATGAAACCCTGAGACAGCGCTGCACAAGGACCAAAGTTTTAGATCGACGTGCTGAATATGACCCATGTAAGTCTGTTTGTTGTGCTTTTGACTCTCACTCATCTTGTCAGGCGTCGTGCTGTCTGGTAGAAAGATGTAGTATATTGGTTAATTGTAAAAGAATCACAGGGGAAAAGGCAATTTGACTGCGCTTCTTTGTAGGTTTAAACAAATCGGTGATCGCTATGCTCTCCATCGCCATGCTCGTCCTGCACTTCTGTCTGTCCAAACATTTCCTCGCTCGCCATGGCTGCAGGACCGGAAAATGTGTTGTTCAACTGCAGTTCAGGCCCTATAGGATGAACTCATTTTCTGCCATCAGTTGCACACCTGTGAAAGGAGACACCTCATCTTCTGCCACGGAGGGACTCATCATGTGCTTTCTGTGCTCTTAAACCCAGCAATTGAGCAGCGAAGGCTTCCACATGGCTGACCGAGATTGGAATCCGTGACCGCCAATGAAGAAGCGGAACTCCGATGTTTCTACTGAGTTTCACAGCAGCTGTGTATCATGCGTTACACATTGATATCACTTTACCTTTAAAAAATGTCTGCATATGGGCAAACCGCAGAACTGTATCAGAATCCATAGGCCCAATGGGTGGCTGCTCGTCTGAAAAATTCCGATTTGCTCGACAAGCTTAGCGAAAAGCTTTGTGTCATTCTAGCAACGTTTAGGCCCACTGAATGAGCCGCTCTGCGTGATGGATCCTTCAAATCGCATGCAAATGGGGTTGGACTTTGAAGAAAATGGCTGCAATAAGGCATACCATGTAGGGAGCATACCAGATGTAGAGCATCCGAACATCCTCTAAGGGCACCTTGTTGGGCAAAGCTCCTGATGCCACCAAGTGTGGAAGTCAATTATTCCATGCAGGACGAAGGTTTACAAAGTACCAACAAATAAGGACTGCCTTCCGGTTTCTCGCCACGTGATTGCTCAGCTTATGGCATGTCAACACCGCCCAAGCCACGGGTCAACATGCGACAACGAGCCGCCCAGTCTGACTGCGACGTCCGCGCGGAAGGGTTGTGCCGCTGACGACGTCCGCACAGCAGTTTCTGGCCGTGAAATCCATTTCGCAACTAACACAAGTCCTGCTTTGGGAGCTCGTGTCAGTTCGCCACCTGGCCGCGGGGGGAGTCGCGCCAGCTTCTTCCGCGCGGAGACCAATTTCTCACACGAGCAAGGTCCGGTGCATGCGGCGCATGCGGAGCCCAAAAAACCGGATCCGATGACGTTGCTGATGCGACCAGGTCGCATCCGATCTCAAAAGAACGGCCACTTCGGACTGGGAGTGGATCGGATCCAATGAGATCCGTCCGTTTGGGACCCAGCACGGATCTCTAGCTGATCCCGGGCGCATAGAGTGTTATGAGTTGATGGTGCTCTCTTGGCAAGGTTCTCTCAAGTTCCAAAGCGTAGACGAACTGGACCGTGTTTCTGTGTTGCGCGTATTCAGCTGAATGCCAATTGCAGCAGATTGCAGCAGTTATATATGGTCTTTGATAATACCCATGGATTTCTTCAGAGACAAGTCATAAACAATCTATATAATACAAGGAACACTTGTTTCTATGGCCTTTTGGTTTACATGTTGCAGTTTCTGTGTACATGTTTCAGGAATGTCCACATTATCAATCTACTACTACCTGCTATCAGCCGCCAAGGATTTCATGTCAAACAACCACTGGTGGAAAGATTCACCTAGCAGCAGTGTGACATTAGGACGTGAAATGTGTGCGAAATCGCAAAGAATTGGTTTAACCCTTCAACCCACCCTGAACATTCCCCGAACTCCATCTCAAGAAGTTCTGATCGTTTTGGATCTCTCATCTCTATGGTCGATGTGCTGGAAACAAACCTGCGCAAAATCAGCCCTCATTCCACTAAGCACCAGCCAGGCAGAGTTACAGGAGGTCCAAGGCTGAAAGCCCATGTCGCGAGTGCTCCCGGGCCCATAGCTGTGATCACTTGCTCCAGTCTTCCACACTCACGAACGCGAACTGTCCGACGGTCCGCCCTCAAAGCCCTTCCACATAAGCGGGGTGCTAGAGGGTCAACAGGTATGAATTGCTCCAGTCTTCTGCAGTACCCCCTTGCCCTGCCTTGGCGCGTGGGAGGGCACGCCGGAGCATCTTCTTCGCATGCGCCGTGAGTTTACACCTGGTCGTGCCGGTGGGCTGGACGTGACAATGACAAACAAGAAGACCAAAGGGAGTACTTACGGCGCGGCTCAATCAACGCCACTTCCACCAAATCTCATCAAAGTGGCTGACGTATCTCATCCCATATCCCTACTTTCACCTTAAATCTGATTAAAGTGGCTGACCTCTTTCATCCCTGACCCCAAAATGACTCGAGTTCCGAGCTCGGAACGACCCTAACCCACCACTATCCACCGCCGACCCGACACCCGACATCCAGCACCGGGCCTATCGGGATGATAGAACTTCGTGGCCACCTTCATGGCGGACGTGGCCAAACAGATCCATGTCTCATGTCTGTGTGGTCCATCCAAACCATCCAAAATCCATACAAAAGAACATCCAAAATGGTCCAAAAATGTCCCAATACTATGTCCAAAGATCGTCCATGTCATGAAATCTGTCGACCAAAAGACCCAGCTGTGCACCATTTGATTTGCGAACCACATGTCAATGCTCTGAAAGTGTCCAGGTCGTTTTTGCACTGTTCATCGTTTAGTGGCCAGCGCCTCAATCAACATCTCTGGGGGAATGGCGGTAGCATTCCGCATGTAGCACCTTGCATGGACCACTAGACCCTTCTAGTTTGAACTCAGTGAACCTAGGTGGACAAATCGACCTCAAATGGACCTTCCGCGTAGCACTCACCAGCTTAGCATGTCTTGGTAGCAAGAGATTCTGGCTACCCTGAGGGTTGTGCAAGTCCTGAACAAGTTGCCTGTGAACCTTAAAGTGAATTCAGAAATCATGGTCGCTGATGAGAGCATGGCCAGTCAAGTGTATCCAAAAAGGGGTCTCCGGTCTCAAACGCCTTGCGAAGGATGTATTTATGCGGTAGCTTGCCCCAAATCGATTGCAAATGAATGAACATTATGCAACAACGAAACAGTCATCTTAAGCAATCCAAAGAATCTGCGATGACAAAGCATCAATTATGTACCGATGATGATCGAATGAATGCAACAGGACTATACCAGAGTGGCTTGAAGTATTGGGTGAGTATCGCAATGGTTGGAGAGCTGGGCCAAGGTATACCGTCCCAGCACTCCTCCAAATAAGGACCTATATAATAAGCCCTACGCTCCGACTCACTAACATGGAGTCCCTTGGAAAACAACTTTCCTTTACAAACAGGGGGTGCCATCCACTTCGATGGAACGTGAGTCTGAGTGCATTTTTTGGAATAAACGTAAGGCTGTCATAGGCTGTCATGATCCACATCGGTCAACACCACATCCCAACACACACACGGGATGACTGTCACACCTAGCTGAGATGAATCTGTTCCCCAATTTTTGGGTCCACCTCTGGATTCAGAGGAGTCAACACTCCAACTGACTTGGTTTTTCAACCAATGCGCCGGCGTCCGGCCTATCTGTGACGACCGTCTCATGGTAAAGGACCTGTGCGTCCGACGATTTCACACTAACAAACATAAACATCGGCACCTTCAGGTCCTCTTGGATTCAGCTGTTGGATCTTGCCTTCAGCTTGGAACACACCATTCAGCTGTTGACTCCCCGTGACTGACGTCTGCCTCTTACAACAAACAAACCCAAGTTACATCGCCGTATATGGCATATCTACGAGCAAACAGGCAGACTTCGCGTCCAGGAAAGTCTGGATCCCTCATCACTAGCTTAAGCTATCTTAAGCTGAAATGCCCGGTGTTGATGGAGTGTCGCACACACGTTTCACTATGAGAATGGCATGGTTCGATGTGCAAGCAGCAGCCCAACACAACACCCATCCCATCCCCTCCTGGACATATACTTCAAATCAAGTTTAGCTATATATATATATACTTAGACTGCACCAAACATCATTTGCTTTCACGGTTTCACTGGATTCCGCGGAGGCGTGAAGAAAGACGTGAAAGGATGCGAGACAAATACGGAACCATGGCTGAACGCTGTATCATATAATTGAAATCAGGTGTTGTCCATGCCCAAAAAGAAACAGCAACCCATGTTGACTGTTTGCTTTATTTTGCCCAAAGTGGCCGCCCCAGCCCCACCATGCCCCACCCCTCAAGCGAAGTCGACCTGTGACCCGAAGACCAACGCAAGGTTCGTCACTTGAACGAAGAATGCGGATGAATGGCATAAGTCGAAGAGACGATCTTTGGTTCTTTTCGGTACTTTTCGGTACCCTTGTGTTCGGTGCTTCGACGTGCAGGTTGCAGACTCCACTCGCTTTTTCGTCGCCAGGTCGTACTGCAAAGACCGTTGGAAGTGACGCACGAAAAAATGGAAGCTACCGGAGTTCACGTCGTGTGACACTTGAACTTTTGAGCGGAGGGTTACAAACACTGTCGCCTTTCTTAGTGCTTTCAGAGAATGAAACACATACCCATCACTCACTGTACAATATCAGCAGATGTGCAGCATGTCACTATATTCAGCTACAGCCACTGTTCACTGTAGCCAACTATAGCTAACTATATAGTTATATAAGTTATATACACGACCACGACGACCACGACCACTACGCCCTTGCTTCAACTTGTTCGGGAAAGGTGGGACCCGGCTGAACAAGATCGGTGCGGGGACCTGATCCAGTGACTGGACCCGCCTCAAGCAGGGTGAGTTGGAGCCCGTAGCTTCTGAGAGATACGAGGTCCATTGCAGTCTCAATTGACCACACGGGCACGTTGATCCCCTCAAAGGAGACCCTGTCCATTTGCTGGACCCCGAAGATCTTGAGCAACTCTCCAAGCTCTGCGTCGAAGTGCATTGGCACCGGGCTCAGCACCACAATCCACTGTGGCAGGTCTGGAGGATGGAAGACGTCCTGACGCATCCAAGGCATGTTCATCAATTCATCCAACAACAACATGGTTCTTCGAGCATAGACTTGGAGAGAATCCAGGATTTGTTGCCGCACCAACTTCTGAAAGAAGATGCAGGTCATGTTATGCGGCCTAATCATACAGCACACGAACCAAATCAATGCCTTTGAGCATCTTTGAGCCAAAATAATCATCCAAAATAGCTCAGAAGTCTGAGATTGCATGAGAGCAGGGCGTGAGTTTCATACGACTCTTCGGTGGCTTGATGTGTTTAATTCATGTTGATTCGACTTTGGACAGCGCAAGCTGAAAAGGTCAGTGGCATGCAAGCACATTCACGAACGCGTCAACAAAACCACGCTGAACTTCACACCACACCACCGTAGTGTGATGGTCATCATGAGAACATCATGTTGAGCAGGCGTCTTCGGGCGGCGTCTTCGGGCGCGTGTGTGGGCCAAAACCGAGTGTGATACCACTGAGGTCCCACCTTTCAATTCAGTTACTGAGGTCCCACCACTCAGGACCTGCCGCATTCGCCTTCACCAGCGCGCCCCCCCCCGGAACGAACGTTCCGTCTACGAAGGAGGCGGGTGGGCCGCGGTCGACACGCGCTGGGTGCTGGGTCTTCAGGCCCACTCCGCCTTGTGCTGCAGGAACCTCCGTCGCACCCGCCCACTCCGCCCCGTCTCGGTAGAGGGAGCGACGTGGGGAGAGTCCAAGGGGGTAGGGGGTGCTTGGGTGGGAGAGTCCAAGTGGACGAAGTTGGAGAAGTTGGCTGAGTAGCCATTAGTGCATGTAATTATGTAGATCTCTTGATTGAATCTCCCAATTGGGAGGATAAGACCTCTTCATATCGTTCACATGGGGATCATGAGGGGTTGATTAATTAATGGAATCCAAGAGTCTACAAGGTGAATGCCTGTGAGCACTTGGCGCCCAGTGGAGTTGAGCTGTCACGCCCAGATCTATTCCCAGAACCTCACGAAGCTCTAATCCACATTGGCAAAAGCACTGAGCACGACAGCAGGACATGTTAGAGCATGTTTCATCTTGAGGTGTTCCCAAGTTCGACCCCCTCTGGAAGAAGAACAAAGACCAAACCGGTAGTTGGGGTTCCCCTATTTCAATACACACCCATATGAGATCTCTTACGACATAGAACTGGTCCGGTCCCCCTTCTCCAAGAAGGCTCTCCCCATGCGAACCGTTGACCTCAAAAGGGTGAGGTAGTCGCTTCGGAACGCGTGTCATCGCTAGTAGGTTGGAAGCCATCGCTACTACTATGGAGGCCATCGATTGGAGGCCACCGTAACCACTAGCAAATGAATGAAGGATGCAGAGCATTTGTGTTACACGGTACTGTGGAAGCAATTAGCAGAAAGAGATCATCATGTAGATGAATATCCAGAGGGACGTTATTAACATCCCCCCACCCCACCCCATCCTTCATCTTTAAACCCTCCCCATCCGTGTCTGTGTGTGTGTGTTCTAAAGTGACCAAAAAAAACAGGTGTGTTGTGTTCCAAAGTGATCTCGCTTTTTATTAACCCGTCCATGGTTTTGGGTTGTTTTGTGTTCCAAAGTGACACATCTTTTGTGTTCCAAAGTGAACTAAAACCCTGTGTTCCAAAGTGAACCAAGACTAAAACTTGTGTTCCAAAGTGACTCTCCCACCACCTAAAAGATACCAAAAGGTCATTGTTCAGGCGACTGTTCAGGCACACATTCAACACGGCGCTCACACCATTTCGCATCATTCGCATCTCTCCGAAAATGTGTCACAACGCTTCGCAATGGCCAAACTGCACTGATTGTTCCAACGCCCAGGGACGAGGATGGATGGATGGCCACCATCTGCTGATCCTGGACCGTGAGGTAGTGTTTCCCACTCTCGTCCAGGTGTGCACCTGAGGTTGAGTCCGAGCATGTCTAAGCAAAGCCAAGACAAATGGATTGTATGGTAGGATGGATTGTATCATATTGTATCAACAAAAAAGCAGAATAATGGATCTGATCCCTTCAGATCTTCCCAGTAACCTCAAAGGTTTGGAGGGGTTCTTCAAAGTGATTCGCAAAAGCGACTGGATTGACCGAAAGTAATAATGACCTTGAAGACGAGTTTTTTTCTTTGATTGACCTCGAACAAAAACAGGTGCATCAATGTTTTATCTGATTTTGTAGTTTTATAATGTTATATATAATATGAATCTTGTTGATGCATCTAATCTCAAGCCCTGCATTACATTGCAGTGATTACAGTGGTGGTTCGGCGATTTCTCTTCAGCTGCAACCAGCGATTTGGATCTGTGAAACGGTTTTGAGGGTTTGCTCCGTTGGAGATCGCCGGCGTGTTTACCAGGGCTGCGGCATTGCATGAAGAAGCCTTCCACGAAGGCTTTCCGAATGCTGGTGGTCAGCCTGGCGAAGGATGGCGCCCTGGATGGCCCTGGATGGCCAAGGGACCTGGTTGACATGGCATGGCAACGTGGGACTTGATATGATAACTTGGTGCTCTGTCAGTACCAAGGTTGTGCCATACGGTCGCCAAGGTACAGTAGACGATTCCCGAGGTCGAACAAAGCAGTAAAACCTGGTCCTTTACCTCATTGAGTAGTGCTTTGTATGATCGATCAACTCCAGTAAAATGAGGTCTTTGACCTGTAGGGATCGTATAATATGCCTTCAAGGTCTGTACTATCTTCTCCTGAAAAGTGCATCGTGTTGCTGACCATTTCGGCTCATTCTCAGGCGTCCACCATTGTCAGGAAGGCACACCACTATCAGGCCGCAAAATGTCACAAGGAACAAACATCGACCATCACTCCAACATCGCGGGCGTGCCCCCAGGCCAGGTCTGACCTGGCAAAGGTCTTCTCGGCCCTGCTACTGACTCTGCCTCTCATTCTTGGAAGCGATCCAAACTGGTTTCGTGCCAAACGAACCATAGTTTCTCAACATCCTCTGACACTCCACATACATCCTGATTTTTTGGGGTTGAAGAGTCAACATACTTCCTTAAGGTAGGGTTTACACCTGGTCCGTCGGTTCATGGACGGGGTTGGCACTCTCTCTGGGGAACCGACCCACATCCGGATTCTTCTCACCTGCCCTCAAGGACATGTCATGGTGCACATCTTCTCGTGGCCGTTTTCGAGGCTCTCCAGGTGCGAACTCTTCCGAGCCAGGCTGGCCAACTGCTTCCGGACCTGAGGTTCGATGCGGTGGAGCGAGGGGGAAGGAAGAGGAAAGGCACTTCCATTACAATGAGGTTGAGAAAAGGCGACGACAGGACCCTCAAGTTACTAGGTTGGAGGCCATCACTATTAGCTTGGAGGCCTTCGCTATTAGCTTGGAGGCCTTCGCTATTAGCTTGGAGGCCATTGCTATACTAGGTTGCAAACCATCGCTATTAGGTTGGAGGCCATCGTTATTAGCTTGGAGGCCATCGCTATTAGCTTGGAGGCCATTGCTATTAGCTTGGAGGCCATCGCTATTAGCTTGGAGGCCATTGCTACACTAGGTTGGAGACCATCACTATTAGGTTGCAGGGCATCGCTATTAGCTTGGAGGCCATCACTATTAGCTTGGAGGCCATCGCTATTAGCTTGGAGGCCATTGCTATTAGCTTGGAGGCCATCGCTATTAGCTTGGAGGCCATCGTTATTAGGTTGGATGCCATTGCTTGTAGGTTGGCGGCCATCACTATACTAGCTTGGAGGCCATCGCTATTAGGTTGGAGGCCATCGCTATTAGGTTGGAGGCCATTGCTTGTAGGTTGGAGGTCATTGCTATTAGGACCCTGAAGTAGCTTGAGGGCTTTGACCCACAGCAATGTGCTATCAGGAGTGGCGATGCTGCTGAAAAACATTCCTCCTCCTCTGCCAAAGGTCTATGGGATCCTGCGTCACCGCCACAAAAACAGCCCCTTCACCAGGGGATTGGTTTTTGACCTGGTCTGGATTACCACCATCCGGGCTGTGTAGTGTTCTTGGAAAACTACTGCTAATATCGTTGATGTCTATCTATCATCTATCGATCATCTATCGATCTATCATGATCTATCATGATCTATCTATCTATCCATCCATCTATCTATCCATCCATCCATCTATCTATCTATATCCATCTATATTATCTAAATATATCGGGTACACGGTACAAGCTGATTAAACTGACCAGTCCTCTGTTGACAGTGGCGAATCCAGAACACCCTGCCGTTCGAAGTGTCACGTCGCGAGGTGATCCGAGTTCTTCACCGCTGCGGCGTGACGAGACATGTTCGACTCCAGCCGGATCCAGGGCCTTCATAGTCTATTCTTCTTCATTCTCGGGTTCCCCACATTCTCGGCCTGCCTCATATTCCGCTCAGAGAGAAAGTGCTCCTGAGAGTGGCACGAACAACTGTTCCTTGTTCGAACGGATGTCGAGACGGTCTGACCGACTCGCTATCCGTTGAAACAAGAATGATCCGAAAAAAAAACGGTGCTGTCGAGGAAGAAGCGATTCTTGCAGTCTGTACGGTGCAGAAAAACAAGAGAAAAAAGAATTACAGGGTGAATCCTCTGAGTCCTGTCGGCATCTCTTGATCATTGAAGTATCCCGGATGGTCCCACGACAACAGGATGTTATCTTCATCACTCTTTGCTCGGCAAGAAAAACACGATTGAACAAAAAAAGCACCGGGTCCCGGCAGAACTCGGCTTTGGATCCGCAGTCCACGTATGCTCGATATGCGTTCAGCCTCGGACTCAGTGCATTCCGCTGATGTTCTGGTTCTGATTTTTTCCTTAATTATATAAAAATATACCTGGTATGTCAGCAACTGGAGTCCAAAAAAGCTCCAAATTGCTTAGAGACTTAGTCCTTCACAGGGGGGTTAATGATTTAAATCCAAGTAACTGGTCTGCATCGAATTCTCCAAAGACCCGTGTGTCTGTTTTTGAAAAGCGTGATCTGGTGGAGTTTGCAATTGGTGTGTTTCGGTGTATCACTGCTTTCGCTTGTGGCAGTCTTTGAAGCGGGGGCCCACCGTGGCCCACCAGGAGAGCGTCTGGCAAGTGCTCCATCAGATGGGGTGATACGGGCGACAGAGTTCTCGAACCCAACCCTCAGATGCTCCACAGGTCAAACGGTATAACGGCCATACCAATGTTGTCTCACAGTATGACTGGTACAAGACGTACTTGACTGTACAAGACGTGTCTCACAGGAATTCATGGCTTTCGACAAACCTATGTGGGCTTTCTGTAGTATTGGACCAGTACCTTTCTCCACCTCGCCCCATAAAACCCCTTTCCCCACAACGCTTGGCCCCTGTGCACCGCCGGCAGCTCAGGGGCAGGGAGAGGTGATCTCCATAGCCGGACGCGAAGTGCTTGTGCGCCTTATCAGCTGCCTGAGGCGGAACTGAGCTTGCAACTGGGCAACGTGGACAACACCACCCAACACCAAACGCAACAAACATCAAACGCCCCGAACATCTGGGGGGTTCCTGTCCGGGTTCCAAAACATAAGGTCCTCTTGACCAAAACCGAAGTCAAACATCTGGCTGTAGGATGGGGTCCAACACACTAGGTCTCTTCTTGGGGGCCACCTGGACAGGACCAGGAGCCCAAGAAGCTACGAGAATCAGGGGCCTTCTGCGCATATCTCGGACGGCTGAAGGGTGGAGGCACACTGAGCATAGCGATGATCTGGATGACCTGGCAGTCAGCTGGGACTCCACGACTAAGATATCAGCGGATTGGTCGAAAAGTAAAATCCCATCAAATCCTCCAACATGACTGCAGGCCGTGCAACACTTTTCCACTTCACTGGAAGATTCTTGGTCAGTCTACATCGCCAGAGCCCTCTTTTATGCCCATATGTGACAACGAAACAAGAAACAATGCCTCAAACTCACTCACTCACATCTGTGTTTCTTCACGTGTTCGGTTCTTCGCCCACCAAAACAAAAACAGTTGCTACGGCCCATGTACGGCCCAGGATCCGCCCGGATCCGCTTCGATCGCTCTCGGCCTCCTCCAAACAGCTGTGCCGAGCGCTGGCGATGATGCTGCGGCCTCGGTGTCGGAGGTCGTTTCGGGGACGCGTTTCGGTGAGTCGCTGAGGAAGTGAGGTGAGGCCGCATTCAATGATCTGATAGATGCTATCAGCTATCACTTCAAGTGGTTTCATGAACAAATTGAACGGAAGTTGGTAGTTGATTGATCTACTGGTGGTACCCTCACCGCTTACAAACGACAGGAGGGGCAAGGTTTGTGGTTGCCCAAAGCGAAACAAATAGAAGCAATAATGGGGCGGTGCAATGACAGGGTGATCATGGACTCCAATTCCAGGATGGCTATACTTTTGTGGTTGATTCATTGATGCTGGTGCCGTGTCTCAAGACTCCCAAAACTAAACAAACACATAAGGCAGTCCCGAATGCCGGCATGCCCACCTAGGCAGACATCATCGTTTATTTTGTGGGCCACCGTCTTCACAACCTCCACAGTAGGGGTCGAATGGAGCCATCACCTCCAAAGCCGTCTTGTTACGTTCGTTTCCGCGATGGGCCTCCAACCTACGAACGCTTCTAAAGCCACCACCGTGCTTTTGCCCGCTTCTTGTGACGTTCGTTTCCGCTTCTGGCCGACCCCTGAGCCGGCCCGACTCAAATGTGGATCCACCGGGAAGTCGGCCATCTTGCTCCCTGAACGTCTGAACGTGGCCCAATCGGACCGCGTGTTTGACACGATGGAACGTCATGACCTCGTGTTGAAGAGGCGCTGGTGGGAGGCACCCCAATGCCAATCACCACATATCACCACCTGGTTCTGTAACTGATGCATCATTTGTTATAAGAAAAGGGCTGTGCCTGTCATCATTTGTCCTCTCAGTGAGAACACAATTGTGCACGAAGCCTGGGCCTCATGTCCATTGATGGGTTTGTTGTTTGTATTTCAAGAGGGAAATCCCCTGGGGTTTGGATCTAGTTCTACCTTCTTCCCGGGATTTCTTTGAGGAGTCTCCCCATTTTAATACACACTCGAATGTGTTGGTCATGCTCGTTGAACTCCCCATCCTGCTTCCTCTTCCCATTGGATCTAGAGTGATTCCAGCAGCGGTAGGATCTGAGTCTCTGAGCCCCAGAAAGGGGATTTACCCTCTATAGAACACCCAAAGCAAAACCAGTAGGAAACAGATCCACCTAGAACTCTCATGGTCACCAACCTTGTCAGTGGAAAGATCCACAAAGCCACTTAGTGTGGCTGCTAACGGGATCGTCCACAGTTTCAACCGATGCATTGCACCTATGTCAGTGAGATCGCCCTCCTCATCAATGGCCCCAAGGAAGTAGAGCCTCTGGACATGGAAAGAGAAACCCCACTTCACCCATTTTGCAGTCTCAGCGGAATGCTATTGGGAAAGAAAGCAACGCAGCAAAACAGTTCCGTTTCCAGGATTCTCCATAGCTCTCCTTATTGGGTTGGAGGCCATCGCTATTGGGTTGGCGCTCATCCAATGTACCTAGCAGGAGATCCCCTAGTAGTGGAGGGTAGTCCATTGGTGACCCAAACAGGATGGTCCTGGTAATGATACAATTCTAAGCAGGAACTGTATCATTGCAAGGTCTGCACAGGTGTTCACAGGTCTTGTTGCCAGCTGATCTGAAGTAGAACCTAAGACCTGATCCATCTAATCCAAATGGGAGGCTTCTGTACTTCGTTGGTACTTCACAGCTTGGTATCGGGGAAAAATGACTTGGGTCGTTAGTCCAATGGCCCGACTCCCTTGAAGAAAGGACCTGGGTAGACCCTCATCATGTGTCATGTCTCTATTTTACTTCCCCACACTATATGCTTTACCACCCAACTCCTTCACCGGGATATGCCGACGCTTTCAGCTTTTGTGCTGCACCGTGCTTTGAAAGGGGTGTTGTTCTCTGGTTCTACTGTTGCTTTTAGGATCTTTGGGGGACAAGACTCTCAAACACACCATGCCAGGCCGTGACAGCAAAACCTAGACCACGACTCTGGGGCGATCGGGAGCCCAAGCATCTCTAAGGCCCTCATCATCGACTCGGGAGATGGCCTGAGCTACGAGATGAACATACTCGAAGGACAGCATCAGTGGTAAGATCATCATGGAAAAGGATGATCGGCAAACTAGCGCCAGGTTCAGAAGGCTGGTTTGTCCAAGCGTAAGCACCAACAAAATAGTCTTTGCAGGGGAAATCGGGTACTAAATCGCAGCTCACACCATCTTTCTGAATGTTGACAACATGCATCGCAAAACAAAATCTGGGCCGGAAGAAGACATGCCGATGGCAATGGTTCTCCAGCTTACACAGGCTGTGGAAGCCACTTTTCAGGGCTTCAAGGAAGCTGCTTCAAATGCCCCTTCTGCCTTTTCCTTCTGTATAGTGAGTCTTCCAAAAATTTAATCCTGCATAGGCAAAAGCTTATAGTATATGCATGTACTTATGCATGTCTGACTGGAGTAGGCACATCGGACCGTACCTGTTGAGAATCCTCCTCAGGTACTCCAAATACTACGCACATGTTGTCCACACACATGCGTCCGTCTTTTTCCGGTTTTCGGACCATTTCTAGGTCTCCAGGCGGTTCCATGAAATCAAAGTGGACGATGTCATCCACCCCGAGTTTCTTCAAGGAAATCACCTGGGCCAATTTGGGTTCGCAAGAAGCCGGCACCTGCAACTCAGTGGGTTTGTCCAAAATCGGATCGAGGAAACGACCGACACGTGCGGTGTCGAAGATTGGAAGGACGGAAGGAGATCGAAGGACCACATCGGTGTCGGATTCAACACCAAAACAACTTGGTCCGATATAGGGACTGGGATCGCACCTTCTTGGAAAGGGGAGGCCACGGTGAGGGTTGTTCATTCATGCCCGGCCTTGGTGGAGATACGCGGGGTGTTGAATGGTGTCAAGTTAAAACATGTTTAAACATATTGTAAAAGTCGAAACCTAACTCCGCAGACTTGCTTTCCCAACAACTCACCAGAAAACCAAAAGACAAAAGAAAGAATCTAGTAGGCACTCTAGTAGGCTCTTGAAACTGTTTCTCGACACATGATTTTGTTGAGGCTCCCTTGGAGGTAAGCTTCCAAGCATCCTGAAGACCTACAGATCCCAAGCTCTTTCCGCCTGTTTTCTGTTGGAAACCCACCCTCTCTGAGCACGCGGCCACTGAGCTAAGGTTGCTTCGGATGATCTCAGGATAGGTGCTCTCTGGCAACTCTTTCTCGAAGGTCTGCCACGTCGTCTCGTGAGTCGTCAGGTCTGGGGCATCAGCGGGGTGGTAGCAAGTGGTAGCAAGAATCCATCCAATGCAACCACAGATCTATAGATGTAAGTCTGGGGGTCTTTGGGAAGTCTGGAAGTGTCTGGAAGTGTCTGGAAGTGTGGATGTTCTTGCTTTGGCGGCCTCTTTCCTTGAAACCCCAAAACGACCTCTCCCTGGACCGCACGTCCAACAAACTTTCAAGTGGAACACACTTGGCTTCATCGCATAAAGCGCATTACATTTCGAAACAAGGGAAACTGTTGGCAAGCACCTCCATGTTCATCCCATGAACTCACCCAATCTGTTTCATGACGCTCCTTCGTCTCTCGTCGGACCTTGTCGCAGCTGCGTTTCGTTCCCTCACATCCGTGTTTTGGCACGCGTGCGTGCGTGGAACACGCACGGAGCCTCCAGGGTGTAGAGCCTGAAGCATTTCCCCGGTCTGGTGCGGCCAGCACGACCTGCCTCGGAACCGAAGGAATCGCTTCTGATCTGGATGACCGGTCGCGGCACCGGTGACCGTCTATCTTGTGCAATTTTTCCGTCAACTGAGGCCCCTCGGAAGATTGAGAAAAAGCATCGAGAAAAGTCCTTTCGAACATCCTACAAGTAGCACATCCGTTCGAACGGGAAGTATGACCCTGGCAAAGCCTGAAGATTTCATTCCTCCTCGTTCTGTTTCACTTCACCAATATGGAACTTGAACCTGGCTTGGAAGAGGACGGTTTCCCATTCCATCTTGGTGAGTCAGAATGCATCTCCCAACAAAAAGAATGCTCCTTGTTGCTATCCCTTGAAGGTTTACTGGAGATTCTCAGGACACAACACCACATTTCAAGTCTCCTCAGGACACATCCGCGTGTCTGGCTTCTCACCTACTAAGACTTATAACTCTACACAGCAATGCTGCTGCCCTTGCCTTTTGCTTGCCGCGGAAAAGCTCGTACCAAGCAGTTCAGCCCCATTCAGGGAAGCCGAGCACTGGTGTGAGCGCGTCAAACTTGCATCAACTCCGCAGTGACTTGAGTTTATCCTTGGAATCTCTGCGCGGAAAAGCACTGATCAGGATGATTCGGGCTGAAGCCTCTACCTTCTACGCTTCAGCCCGATTGGACCTTCCGAATTGGTTGGCCACCTTGTCAAAAAGAACCCCGAAGTCCTACAGTCCTACCTTGGCCTGGGCCACCAAGCGGTGGGAAAAAACAACAGAACCTTCAGAGCGTCACAGACTTGGTCTGTTCAGGCAGTGTTGCCAGCACTCGACTGGCCACCTCCAAGCCACTAGCAATTGCACCCGCCAGAAAGCCTCCAGGGGAAAACCACGCTGTGAAATCGAACGCCCAAGAGTACTGGAGAGATCAAGGAAAAACCACCTGCATCTCACCATCACATATCATCACAGCATTCCACGGAGTTCACCCATGTTCACCCCTGAAAAAAACGACACGGTTGGCAACCGGCTCTTTCCATGTGGATGTGTTCGTTCGTCAGAGGTCAGAGGGATTCAGAGGGTAATCCGGGTCATCTCCCACTAAAAAGTCCCATGTCTGCTCCCATCTGCTCCCTAAACCATCGACACCATGCTTAAAGAGTTGTGTGCGTCTCCACTTCTGCAGAAAGACTCACAAAAAGTAGAGTATAAGTATAGATATATTTATATATACATAACTAGATTCTAGATGGTGTAATGAGGTCTTCAAACAAACACAACAAATCAATACAAATCACCTATATAAAAGAATGTTCGAAAAGGATTGTCTGTTCTATCCGGGGAGCATTTAGAGGTCAATGGGCTCCACAATCTTTGGATAGCATCCCCTCCACCTGTTCCCTTTCAAGTCTCTCCTCCCAAACAGTATGGACATGTCAATAAACATTCAAGCAAGCATGTCTGATTTCCCTCACGTTTCCAGACTCTGCAGTAGAGTCAGGACCTAGCATGCTCCGAAAGCCCTGGAAAGCGAAGACATGTGAAGCAATAAATCTATCTTCAATGAAGCCCTTTTGCCAAACGAGAACGAAGCTTCATGTGTCCCAGGCCCTAGTTGATGATGAATCAAGGTCACAGGGAACTTGAGGGATCAACTGCTACAGGCGTAAAAAGCAGTACTGGCATACATCACAGTACAATGCGACATCTCGATGTCCACCCCTGAAGCAAGCGACGGCCATCTCGATCTCCGATTTCTCCATCCCTCGCGTTCGGCGCTCGGCGTGTTCGGCGCTCGGCCACGGGCGGCGCCTCCGTGCCGCCGCGCGGTCTCCGTCCCTCCGAAGAAGAGCTTCCCGTTCAGCGCGGGCGCCGCGAGCGCCGCGTCGCCGTAGCGCGGGTGGTGCCGGAGCCGCTCCTGGAGCGGTGAAGCGAAAGCGGAGAGCGGGCGGCTCTTTGATTGGGAACAGGACACTCCATTGGACTGGCATGGTATATGTCCCTGCATTTGACCGCTGGATGTGTCTCATGCCCTGTTTTCGGATGATGCCAAATCTGGGTGTATTCATAGGGCGCCCTTCAAAGGTCATGCACCATGTGCAACCTTGTGCCACAAGCTCTTCCGGGCAAATCGGAAGCGCAGCTGATAGCAAGGTGCTTCCCAAGGAGATGGACATGACGTCACGTACCCAGTTTTCAGGGCTACTGTTTCATCATGTTTCATCTCTCTGCGCACTACGCGTTGCAATTCTTAGACCGTAGACCCTCTCTGAATGAAATAAGAGACCAATATATCCACATCAATCGGCCACATCGCCAGCCATCTTCTAGGTCCCTCTCCTCGGGTTCAGCCGGATGATGCGTGTAAGGGTCCGCCTTCCAGTCCTGAGTTCAGGCGGACCTGAACTGGGATCGGTCCACGTCCAAAAGGAAGGCGTTCCTTACGTCAAATGACAGCCCATGGCCAACAATAGAATTACGTCAAAACACTTGAAATAAATGGTTACAAATGCGTGGCGCACAGCGCCGCTTGGTGGGGCAGGAAAGCCAAGGGTTTGGATGGTGAACAAAAGGGGTTTGGACTGGGGTTTGGGTATGTTTGAGTAATGCATTGTCCTTCGTGACCTCCAATCAGTCCCAACCAGATTTCAATGCTTGTTTGCTGTGTCACGCAATTCGAACACTAACACCAGTCATTGCCAAAACAGAGGGATCAAATAATTTGTAATAAGTTGTGTCCAGTGATGTCATATGGATAATGACCTAACCTAAACAACAAAAAACAAAGTCCACAGCCACTACAGCCTCGCAGGTCTTGCGTGGATTGCTTGGTTGCCTGCTTCGTTACTTGCTTGGTTACTTGGTTGCTTGCTTCCTTGGTTGTTTGGTTGGTTGCTTGGTTGGCTTCCTCCTGCAAGGAAGAGCCTTCCTCCTGCAGTGCGGTCTGTTCTCACTGTCAAACCAGTCGATCCACTCGCCCCGATGCCCACCGCCTGCTCCTGATAAAAAGACACCTTCTCCTTGGCGTCCTGCCCGAGCGGTGGATTTGCGGAACAAAAGGCTCACAAAGCTGCGCACTTCTGGGGCCGTTTGGTGGGTATTGGATACGTTTGGATGACATCCACATCTGATTCTGGAAGGTCCTATCACTTTCTCAGATAATGTTTAATATTAGCAGGTCATCCTTAATTATAAAGACCGAAATGTCCAGAAAAAATCAAGATCATATTTGATTCATATTGCGCTCCAACATCTGGGTTTGAGAGGCATAATAATAGTCAGCATCCATATTTACAAAATTCAGCTTTACATAACTTACCAAAATAGTCCAGAGGACAATACTGCATATTCTGTTGCAGTCATACTCTACCTGGGTCAAAACCTGGAGCGGAGCCCCAAGACCATGTAGCTTGACCTTCCAGGGAGGTCAACAAAGGTATCCTGGTCTTGACCCCACAGCCATGTAAGCAAGTGGGAAATGCCTCGTTGGTGGCAGGAGCTGTATTTACTTTTTTTTACGGTTTTACGTTGCATTTACTGGATCTGTTTTCTGTCCTGAGAGCTTCATGTCTTTGCTCTAATCCTTTGTATGAGGGAGGCAAAAACCAGTCAAAAGCAGCCTCCGCAACCCAAAAGACCCAGCTGTGCCATTTGAAGGGCGACCTCCAAATTTCTCAAGGTGCATCAATTAACTAATCACTTGCATACCCAGGAAGTCCGAGACTCTTCAAAAGAGATCTCTTTGTGTCTGGAGCCTCGAGTCAAGGAATTCCCTTTACTTTGGGTGGCAAACATCCTCGACGGACGAAGCTTTTGGGACACCGAATCGCTCCAACATCGATCGACGGGCCACGCGAGGGGTCGATACTCGGGTCGATCTTGGATCGGCGTTTTCTCCGGTCGACCAGACATCGGGCCGAAGCGAAGCCGATGTTCGTTGCGTCGCGCGCGATGCTCATCGACGGATCGAGGTCGATCGAGGTCCGAGGCACGGGCGGTTCGGATCGTCGGCCTCCCCGAAGAGCTGGGCCAACTGCTCCAAGACGCGAAGGCGGCGCTCCTCCTGGGCGACAGGTTGGAGGAATTGGGAGTTAAAGGGTAGGGGTTGAAACCAAGCGAGACGCACGAAGCAAACACATTACATAACACTTATTACATGGTTTCGGGTCCCCCCGAAACACGGGGACGCTTGTTGGAACTTGTCATCTGTTTTCATATAACAAAGCTTTTGGATGGATAGACCTGAGGGGGTTGCCTCAGGCTGATGGTTGCTTTTTGTCAAACATGCAATTAAACAGTCAACATGCACATGGAATCACATGGACTTTGCTTCTTCTGTGCGGTCAAGTCGAGATCTTCTACATGGCAGTCGTCCACATGACGAGAGTTTCGCGGAAGGACCTGGGGGCCGAGATGCACTGTGTGTTCGGATGGTCGACGGAGGGAATCATTGGATCACTGGTTCCTTACGGTTTAGATCATCTCATGCAGCTACTTTCCCCGCGAGGCGTACACCCAAGGATTGAGGGTATTCTCATTTGTGCCTTTTTTAGAATACCGTTTTGTTTTACAATTGATGTACATCCCAACACATCCGATCCTTCGTTTGCCCTACCTCCAACATCATCCAAGTGCACATCACAGTCTGGCAGAAGATCACACCAATTCTGTTTGTTTCAGGTCTACGATCTGCCTCACGACCTCCATTCTGAGGGTCCCCCGCCTTGGATAAGCTCTTCACCGGGTCATCTTCATCCACCCAACCGAAGAGCGCATGTCTCCTCATCGACACACCTGAAGACAAGCCCCACATCCGAATCTGTGGGGAGGAGTTAGTTCGTGAACTGATTTATATTTTCTAAGTGCTCACATGATGGTAAAGCATTGCTTTAAGGTTTCCGATAGAAGAATAGAAGAATAACTATAGAAGAATACTGTCTTCCAAAATCCAGCTGCAGCCCTTGCTTGCGATCATTGATTCGGGACCCTCACTGTATCAGTGTGTGTGTGTGTGCGTGTGCTGTGTGTGTGTATG